ATTAATGGAAAAGTGTTTGCTCACGCAAAAATGAAATGACTCAAAACGGTGTGCATGCGCCCTTGTCTCTGTTTAAAGCCTAATATACCTTGGGTGAAATAAATCCTGCCACTTTACTGTTGCATCACTCGTTTCTATCTTAATTTCAGGCCATTCTATTTGGGGAAGCGCTGGACCCAATACCAAATGAAAACAGGCCTTGGTGCTCATTGTCAAAGCATAAGAAGACGCCACCTGGGTTACTGAAATAGTCAGAAATATCAGGGAAACATTGTATTATCGATAGTAGAAATCTCTCCTGTTAATCACATTGTCCCTACAATTGCGTTTATAATTCGAGAAACCCCGTGGACTGCATGATGCGAAACGCAGTCGGGTAATTCAGTGCCCCCATCAGTCAGGTTGATAACGCCGCGGGGCTGACATGTCAACACAACAACTGCTGCGCAGATAGGGTGAACCTCCGCCCCTCTACCATTGCTCATGTCGGTTGGACTTTGATGTCAATCCAACAAGCATTCCACACTAGCACCCGACCCCGTATCTCTAACTGCGAATCTCCACAAAATAGAAATCTCATTACTTGAGCTGAATTTCTCAATATAACAATGACTAACTCGCAATAAATTCCACCTACTCGAGTTTTGAAATAATAGTACACGGATTTTTAGTACGGAGACTTATGATGAATGGTGTTTTGCAAACTGGATTAAGGTGGGATTCACAATTTCCATAATCCAGTAACGGTAGGACGAAATCACACCCGTACGTATGTGTGCATTAAACATGATACACGCAAATGGGGCCAGAGCACATTGGAATGTAAACCTCGTTGGAAAGGTGGAAGGGGATCAAAGATTAGGGGATAACTTGTAGGTAAGAAAATGCATTAGTTGCGCGAAGAACCGCTGCTTCCTTTCACTTATGAATAGCTATATGGACTTCAGACTGACGGCTGAGCAGCATCGGAAATGCAAAAAAGTGGCAAGGAAGAATGCCTGTAAAATATCACTTCTACGTGCCTAATTTAAATTATTTTTTTACTACATATCAAGTGGTACATGTAGTTCACTCACTGTATAGTATCATCCAACCCTGAGCATTGCAAAGACGGTGGATCCGCCCCATCCCGATTACAAAGAAGACAAAAGTATGGACCCGCCCAAATCGACGGAGTGTATCACTGACTTTAGGAATAAGTATCTCTTTGGTTCAAAAAATCGACATATGGTTTTGGTTCTTGGCTCGTAGGTAGTTTTTAAATCGTTACCTTTGTTTTTATAGTCGACGGCACAAAAATTGACCCCGAGTAAGATCGAGTACGGCACTGAAATGGAGAAAGGAGGCTGTTGGTTCAGGAGCAACTACTTAGAATCACTAGCTTTGGCGTGCGACGAGGGCAGAAAACGGAACCGGCCAGAATATTAGATTGAGTGAGGAACCGATTCTGCTCAAGTTGTCGTGCGGAGGTGAGTAACTGAACCCATAGGGACCCTACAGTAGCAGCAGCAGCGATATTGACGAAGCAAGCGCCATTCAGTAATTGAAAACGCAAGAAATGGAGACAATTTAGTTAGATGGTGGCTAACCCTTGGGAAGGAAGCCGTCCACTTCGAGTGCTCACTACGACAACGATGTAGGAGATGTCGGTGTTCGTGAGGTAAATAGACCCTGTGTACAGGTGTGGACGACCCTTATGCAAAGGGTGCGTGATCGTTATGACTGCCTTCTAATGGTGTAGACATGCCAAAGTCATTCTTAGGCTAGGGTGTTTCGACTGAATGCTAGGAGTGAGGACACGTTCAAACCCCATGTGTGATCGTGCTGTCCCATCGGCACGGTGGATCTGCGTGTGTGCATCCAAATGGTGAGTGGAGTAGTATAATGGACCCGACGAGGCAACAAGATTCAAATAAGAGTATTAAAACAATAAAGGGGAAAATGAGTAAGCACGACACAAGGGGATAAGAATTGCTGTTAGTGATTGGGAGAGGCTGTGCATCAAGGTGCCATTCGTTTTTTTATTGTACGCTTTCCTTCCATGGTGTCGGTCCTTCCGTATGCCGGTAATAAATCTTCCATAACCCTCTGTCCCTTGTAATGCCCTCAGGAAGGATTCAGGTGCTACAGTTCTGTTAAAAAAAATCCACACCATCCGGTTAATCAAAATCTTACATCAATTCTAGAATCAGTTACGAATTTTGAACAAGTTGTGTGTTGGTATCATTCATTACACTATTTTAAAGCAGTCAAAACAGTTTTGGTACTTCACTTCCAAATTATTAAATATCAATGTATATCTCTTGCCATAAAACAAACCCTGAAAGCAAGTGACAGCTTCACTGCTTGATCAACTATCGAAGGGCTGGAGCTAGTACACACTTGGACTTAGAAAAAAAAAGTAGTAAATATACCGAGGGTAGTATTTTGGGATATTTTTCGTAAATAACAAACAGCGTTTAAGCAGTCAGTTCTAGTTTTCTCTATTATTTTAGACCTACGCCCCCAGATGGTTAAATAAAAGCAATCAGGGACATGCCACTAATAATGAGGATAAGTCAGTCAAAAAATTGTTTAATCAAGCCTCTGAATAAAAAAAATTGAAGAAGGGCGTTTCCAGCCGGTAGTGATACAGTGGATGGCCTCAATTCCCCTGCTTCCAGGTTGATGAAAATAACCGTTCAATTCATGTTGAATGTTAATTTAATCAGAATCTGAGAAGAACTAGCATCAGTCACATTATTTTGAAAATTATCTTGCCTTACTGAAAAAACCTTGTTACTGGAACCTGTCGTGTTGAACTAACTTCCTTGAATCTACCTCTAACAACTCGTACAGCCACTTTTATCTTAGCATTTATAAAACAAAATGCTAGAACTCAAGGCTCACCACACAATACAGATCAACTTCAACTTTATTGCCTGTTGATATAAAACAGGAAGGTGTCAATCACAAGTGGAAAAAAAATACTAAAAATGACGATAGACAAATTATTTTTAACTCTTACGAGCAAATTTAGGGACGAAAATGCCTCAAATATTTTACTTCATTTTTCAAAATAATACTCAACAATCAAGAGATAACGGAGAAAAATCTACGCCTTAGGGAATAAATATTTTACAACCATTGATTGATAGGACTGAAACCTTCCAAAGAAATTTAACAAACGAAATTGAAGAAACCATAATACATTTAGGACCTAAAAGTTTACATGGATGGTCCATGGGTAACTTTGTTGGATAATGTGAAAGAATTGATGAGGCATTCCACCACAGGGCAAAAGGTTCGAACCATGAAGCGAAGCTTCCAATTATGACAACTGGCATAAATTTGCATAAGTCCTCCCCAAATTATGGCTAGTACTTTGAAATATCACTTGTTGAAACAGTCCTGTGGGAAAAAATAAAAGCCTCCCAATATTTTCCCATTTAGTTTCACTCTTTCGACTTAAAAGATTGGGATTTGTACATTGAAAGTTCCTGTACCGGTTAAGATTTTCAGGGAATTTTCCAAAATATCATGTCTCCAAAGTGGCAAAATAACTTGCTGTAAATAATTACCACTTAGGTGCTGCAGTTTGCACGCCCCTGGAGGCATCACGTCGCCTCCCATAAAAGGTGTCAGGCCCCCTTAAGTGTCTACTCATATGAGTGCAGTTGTGTCCACATTCTAATATGGACTCCCTCAGTGTCAAGAGAAGACAGTAGGATTTCAAAATAATAATCTTGTTCTTTTTTAAATAAAGGCAAAAAAGATCAACGCAAACAACGTCATTAAGAGTGTGAAATTGTGTCATTTGTGTATGTTTCTCTTTGCGCAAGTATGTTTCACTGAGTTAAACATCCAGGACTTGCAGAAAATGATGCACTGGCGATTTTGAAAGAAAAGACAGTTCATAGAATACATTTTATGTGGTGCTGAACTCCACCATTCACGGGTTTTTGAATGCGCGGAGTAAAGTGGGTTACTTGGCGCGCCACTGGGAAAGAGGGGATTTTAGGCCGATGGAGTAGTCGGTTTCTGTTCCGGTGAATTGGCGTAAGAACGCAACTCGGCGATGCTTTGGGTAAAGAAAATAGCGTCTGAATTGAGTTGGAGCATTTCCTTACTTTTGCACTTCAAAACGCGCACACACGTCTCCCAAAAGGCGTCTCGAAAGCGATTAACCACTTTTGGATTCCTTGATGACATCGCATCGGTGGTGCTTATGTTGCGAAATCTCTGCGACTCGTTCTCGTGTAGCATGCTGTAGAGGATTTCTGCGTTGAGAAAGGGCTTGAGTGGGTAACTGATCTCGTTTCCCATGTACCCATAAGAGAGGTAGAGACAGACCATAACGAGGGAGTGCAGTTCCCGACTGCAGGTTATGCTGGAATCCACAAAGCCTTTGATCATAATGAAGAGAAAGACCACGTTTGCTGGACTGAGAAAGGGAACGTCCGTCCAGCCCTGTTGTATCAACGCTCTATCAATATCTCGAATCCAGGCGATTATTTCCTCAGGATAGAGTGGAGAGTCTACCGCATTAGGCTCACACAAATTATCACAGTGCTGGAGAATAAAAATGGAAAGACAATGGAGCAATTCCTTGGTGCTAGTGGTCTGGAGTATTTGCAGTTTATCCCGCCTCGAACCATCTTTGATTGAGTGCTGGAAGGTCGATCGTCTAACTGCATGGCGTCGCTGACGCACTGATTCCTGGTTCCCGAATGCACTCAAACTGCGGTTCATCTTAGCTTGGAGAGAGACAATGTTCGATAGTCTGGGAGCGCTCTCCTTGTCTTCGGATTGACCGAGACGAAGGACTCGCTGGAGGGTTTGTCCAAGGTCATCAGAGGATGGATCAGGGGTGTCCCTCTGCATCATCAACCCGTCTGCTCTGCCCCTCTTCAGCATGGCCAGAGTGGGGGGCCGCGATGGCGGTAGAGGGCGGTGGTTAGGCATCGGGAGGACGCACCGACTGGGGCCGACCAGCGGCTGGTCTGAAGCCTCATAACTTCGGTTTTGTTGACCAAAAAATTTAAGAGCGTAGCAAGATAATGACTTTGTCAAATTTTTGCCTCGTGACATAAGTCGCCAGCGAGATTTCGAAAGACGCCGACTGGGCAGCGGTATCCTCCCTGTATCTACGTAGGTCTCTTCTGCCTTCGTCTTGATTCCTGCAGGTGGTAGCTGTTGCTGTTGTTTCTTATGGATTTTGACTGACCGTGACCGTGATTGGGGAAGATTTGCGTAGTCGTGACAGTTGTTTAGGGCGTCATCACCCTCGTCATCCTCTGGACTGAGAAGTTCTGCTTCGCTGCTGAGGGGGGAGCGAGAGGGATGCGGTGCAACGAGTTGATTGGTACAGTGGACAGAGTGCGCAGGTGTGACATGGCAGGAGGGCGATTTGGCCTTTGACTTGGGTACATACATGGATGTGGTGGTGGTTGCCATCCTGATGAACGGCCCGACGTCGGAGGTTTGTGTACCGAAGTCGTAAGTCGGTATCAAACACTGAGCTAAAGGAGGATGTGATTTTCGTGGGGATCGGAGTGTGGTTGGGATATGGTGATTGTTGTTATTGTTCCCATTATTCAAACCATCTAAATGAAGGCAGAGCTCCGAGAGGTGGCGACGTTGGACCAGTCGTGAAGAGGCTGAATCCACTTCGGAGAGGTTAGATCCCTTGTCCCCATAGTCCAGCAGGTCACACCGAGAATGCGATTGAAAGGTATTCAGGTATCCGTTGACACTGAAGGTGTCGCCTGTGGAGGAGAGGCGGTTCGTACCTAGCCTCACTTGGGGCTCGTTCACAACAACGAAACTGTTCCGACCTGAGACATTTAAGTCACTCTGCACCGCAGCGCTTCTGTCTGGACTGCAATCAGCTATGTAAGAGGAGTTAGTGGAGTTGTGTGATGTCTGCTTCAGCGTCCGAGGGCCCACTTTCTCCTTTGAAGAACTTCTAATCCATGCACTGCTGTCCGAAGGAGCACAGTCATGGATACCCCCATTTACGCTCAAACGACTTATCCCGCTTCTGGAAACAAAGTCCTTCCTTCGACTGTTCCACCTACTGTTCAAATTATTTCCAGCTTGCTTGTAAATTGAACGAACTGACGCGGAAGCTAGGTGAGGCTCAGAGCCCGTGGTGACACGGATACCCTCAGTACTTGGTCCCTCACTATGGATGGTGATGGGCTTTGTTCCAGTGTTTACCGTGTGTTTTGAGTAACCACAGACGGGAGAGACTCGGACGGAGGCAGAGTGTTGGGAGTGAGCAGTGCCCATTCCAATCCTTCCAGGTTAAAATCAGTGGGACATATCTGCTCTCTCGAGGTGTGGCATGGAGTAGAGGTGCTTTCTCTTTCAATCCTCGCATCTAATGAATGTACTCGCGCACACGCACTCACGCATACGGACGCACAGAGAAAGGGCGAGAGAGGGAGTGGGAGTCAGCGCAGTGAGGCATTGCTCTGTTCGCTCAAGTGTGATCGATTGCTGGACGCGACCCACGCCATTGGTCGCTCTGAGTAGGCGTTCCCAAAGCGACAGCAGGCATACTTGTGTGCGGCCGTGGGCGAATGTAGTCGCTTAGGCGCGCGCTCTCGTTGACGTTGGCAATCGATGGCGCACACGACACGTACGCACGCACGCACCGATTAGCCACTGCCCTCTGGCCGCCCCCACGCTCGCCTCCCCACCCGTCCGCCCGCCTGTCTCTCTCTCCGCCCTCGCACATGTCTACCTTCCCCCATCGAAAACGGCCCACTCACTCATTCCACCCGTTATGGTTGATGGGGTCATCTTAATAAAGGCCCATTTGCGATCGCTTTTCAGATCTCTAGCACACCTGTTTGTCACCCGAAATTGGCCACCAAAAGTAGGCTTGAATAACCCAGCCTGGAACTCTGATACAGTCGTCGAACTCAGTGCTTTTACAAAATAAGCTAATTAAAAACTAAATTTTGGGCCCAAGTACTATTATAAAATCGGTAAGAAATTACTTTACTTTATTGCCTTCACTGGGTTAAAACCAAATCGCAAATTTCTCACTAAGTGTGTTCATTCAGCAGGATGAAGCAGATCGACCAATGAGAATCCTCCTTTCAATCTCCTGATCTGACAGGCGGAAGGGAACATGGACCTTGGGAGTTGGTAGATAGGACATTATTTCACCCTATGTACTCCTAGCTAATGCAATTTTGATAAAGTGTGCAAGTCATGAAACAAATGTATTCTTTTATATCTTTTCCTAATCTTAGAACATTTAAACTTTAATTAACTAGGAATGGAAAACAAATATTGCGGCGTTTCCTCTCTCATTGCCAAGACCCACTTTTGCGAAGGCTAAAAGCACGATTTGTCGTTTGTGTTATGCCAAAAAAAATTGTAATTATTTAGTCATGCACTTCACTGGCCAGGAGTCAAACTCTCAAGCAAGGAGGATGCATAGCCAATGATGGAGAATTCCGGATTCGATTACATTCAGTGTATTACAGGTGATTGTGTCAAATGATGTAAATTCTAACTGTTACACAATGCGTTGTTTGTTTGAAACTCGGTTGTGGTAAAGGAACCACGTCGGGTCTCCGCAGTTATACCTTCTCTGGGCGGGCTGGCCTCGGGCCATGCTCGTCGCCTTAAGCTTTACTGTCCGTTGACAATACACCTGTCCGAGTGTTACGTCTCCCTCGCATTAAGGAAAGCCTCGAGGCGATACTGTTAGTATTTGATGCAGCGTGGATCCCCACAAAGCGAAGTTTTTCGCTATAATACTAATTTTATAACAGTGTTTATGAATGGTTTACTTAGAGCACTCGCCCATAATTTACACATTCTTGCCTCTATTAGCTTATGGATATTACAAAAGTGTGTATTTTGAAGAGTTCGTTTGTCAGCAGTTGGAAATTTTAAGCTGTAAAGTCCAAAGATTTCAGAAGCATTCATTGCCCCTTTCTCACTTGTGCATACTTCAACCATTTTAAGTTGATATAAATATGCGCTCCTTAGAAGCTCAAGTAGAATCGACACTTGCGACCACTAAGAATGAAATTTTGTTGTGTTTTTAAGGATCCCCGACCTCATCTCATGAGTACTCCCTTTCCCTCTCAAGGGTAATGGATAACTGATTCCCTTTCAAAGTCGCAGGGATCATTTGGAACATCTTTTGAACCAGGGCCATTCTTGCGTCGGGTAGTGCTGGTACTGGCAGCGCGTTGATTTATAAACACTCGTATCAACCGGCAAGAAAAGAAACCTAAGGAAGCAGCTAACCTCCAAAAGAATCTTAACTTCAGTTGTATTTATCGTCGTCATGACAGCGATTACTGTATTCATCACGCCCCATGAATTGTAAGGCGGTCATTGGGTGGATAAGGCTTCCCTCTTGACCGCCGCCATGACGATGGAGCAGGCCCTCCCTTGTAGGTGGACGCTATTACACAGATATACTAATTTTGAACACTTATAAGTAACTCACCATTACAAACCCAAGGCTCTCCTAACCTATTCTACCTAATGGTCTACTTCATGAACCTATCGTACTCCCGACGTCACTGAATGTAGCAATCTGCCCCATAGAAAGTCCAACATCTGACTGACTAATAAACCTAAAGAAGCTACTTGACGATTGCCCCTTGCCAAGTAAGAAGGTCCGCGAGCGTACGGAGTCATCGCAGACCGTGGCAATGCCTGATTATTACCCTTTAATAAATACAAGAATGGGTCGATTGAAGTACCACAGCAGGACCACTTAAATTTGTGAATCCCATTAATTTCGCCCAAAAAGTTAGCAAATTTTCTAACTAAAGGCAAACAGAACAAACAAATAACTACGCAGGACTTCAATCAAGAAAAATAAAAAAATATTAATCATCGAATTATGGACTCGGACTTTGTTGAGCCAGGTCAAAATTTATAGTGCACCCCTCAATGAGCACATAGGGGTTTACCATTAAGCACTAGTAAGTATGGTTTTAATGAAATTTCAAATAGAAAAGTTTGCATGATAAACACAAGGACGTAAGCATATCTGTACAGATAGGCATCCGCAGTCAGAAAAGACTTTGAGCAGACAAGAGGGTGAGAGAGAGGGAGGAAAAGAGGAGGATGAGGTCAGTAGACTCGACTCATGAGACTCCGTGGAGCAACATCAGAGTCGCGGCGAAAATTAGCGCCATCGCACGTGGCGAGGTCTCGGCAACACCTCCAGGATTGCATTTCTCTGCTGAGCAGAAACAAATGTACCCTCCGCGCCCCTTCGATTCGTACATGCATATCAGGTGACGGTCAATCTTGAGAATGAGCTGGGAAGAACAACCTCGTATCAATTGGTGCTTTTGTTCTAAAAGGTAAGGCAAGGTATCAAGGTACACATATTTCGATCTCTCACCTCGGAATTGGATTTAAGATTTAAAAGCATGAACATCACGAATAAGGAGCCGATTTTAAACAGTCAATCTGTGCCTTCCGTCAGTCAAATATAAGTTCGAGATATTATAATATTACTTACAGAATAAAACGCAGACTACGGGAACGTTAGCAAAAATTATTTAAGTTCCGAGATAATCTTGATGTCTAGGTCAGCAGTTGGTTATTTTTAACCCTATGAATGTGACCTCCAGTTCATGAGTGAATGTGTCACTCTCCACAGCTTTGCTTACAACATCGGTTCGAGGTACACAACTTCTAGAGCGCAGCTGATTACTCAAAAGGGCCATCAAGTACATTTAGTAATACTCAGTACTGCTGCTAATACCACCTAAAAACAAGCTGATGTTAGTGACAGATTTAGTGTTGATGTCCCCTAAGGCAGTCTTATTATCACTGAGATTTAAAAACACATATTCGACTGAGGGCACCAGTCTATGGAAGACTTATGCATTGAAAACCATACTGGCACAAATAGAGGAGAAGAGGGCGGTGACGTTTATAAATGCAAAAGGTGCAGTCCAATTCATTCTAATAACTAAAATGCACCTAAGGCCATACTCAGGGTCGCCGTTTTCGTGAGCCATAGGGAACGGCTACATTGTAACACAATGGCCTGAACAGATTTTGTTGACACTTAGATTGACTACGTGTGATATTGTTAATACACAAAATAATTTCAGTGTCGCCTTCATAATTGTCGATCTAAACAATAAAATTTTTGAGATTCGAAAATCTGTGCAAAGCTTAATGGTCAGCCTCCTTCAAAACATATAAACTCCAGTATATTAGCAGCATTATCAAACCAATGTTAGCGTAAGTTATGATCTTGTGTTCATTTGACATTTAAACATACGATAGTCAATGTAAAGCCATTTGAAGCAGTCTTCATAACAGTCGACTGTAGGTAAGTGTGGCGAAAACATATCACGTTTCGGAAAGGGGTCTTCACATCCTTTAAGCTTTGAGGAGTTGCAGAAAAAACACGAAATCTTCCGCGCTAGACAAAAAAGATTTGATAAAAACATAAGACCACAAGGTGTTATAGAACTGTGCAGAAAAAAGTGTCCTCATTATTTAATAAAACTGTCTGGAAAATACTACACAGTAAATGAAAAATACAAAAAACGCCACACCAAAAAGCATGTCTGCAAATGTTCTTAAAATAAGCCTAAAGACTTAAACAAGTGCAATCAGCGCTTAAACATGCATTTCGATGAAAAAATAATAAAAATGGTTATGAACAGGCATCATGAATTGACTCAACTAAGGCACAAGCACTGCTCGCGAGACTAGAGAGCGGATATAGTTCCAAGCTTATTTAAGCAAACCATACCTGTTACAGCTGCATTTTTAGTGTAAAAAACCTTTATAAATGCTCCTATTTGTACAATAAATACGCAACACTTCCAAAAACCAAATAGAAACTAGAGTGAATCACAAAATTCTAGTTGTTCATCACACTTCAAGAAATCAGATCAATCATAAATGCGCCGTTGCTCTGATGTAAACACGACTTAAGATTAACATGGCTATGATTGAACAGAATAAATATGCATGGAGTCATAAATGTAACTGTTCACCAAAGTTCAGGCTGTTACTCATGAGTATGGAGTACTTACGTGCACAAGGGACAGGCTCTTGGGGTGCTACTCCGCAAAAAAAGACAACTTGCAACAGTACTAGTAAAATAATAAAGATGATTTTTGATTTGTGCGATATTGAGACGATCCTATTTCCCAATATCAATGTAACTGCCATTTTCCCCGCATACTTGAGAATAGATGGCCTTTAGACCGAGAAAGTGCGCATAGCATTTAAAAGCTCTAATTTGTCCTCACGTTCCGATCTCTTAGATGCATTAAGAACATAACAAGCGATGTGTAGCAGAACCCTAAATCTTTATACGGGAGAACGATTCATGTGGGTTATAAAAGATACTTCTGATAAAGTAAAACAAATATTCGAGTTTAACATTGGAATAAGATAGAATGTCTTACAGTCTTTAGTTAGTATTAATTAAAAACACTTTGCGTTCACCTGCGCCGAATGCTCTGAATTGCTAGGTACGGTTTTTGCAAAATTTGTTGAAATAATATGTTATATAAATTATTGTGAAGTTCGTGAAATATACTGTAGCATTCTGAGTCTACCCGGAGTCTAAAAAATCTACAGTAGTGTGTCAGGAAGTGTATTGTAGCCTACGAAAGAGCCGAGAGTCTTCTATGATGTCCCGAAAATCAGGACACCGAGCAGAAGTTCAATTCCAACAATTGCATACATAGGTAACACGTTGGTTTCTGACCCTCAGTTTTGGTAATAGGCTACTTCGTGTCACTGTCATTGTACCTTTGACAAGTAAGTTGGTCTTCGGCTATGCCAGTGGCCCCAAGTCCATCTGTACTTCAAGGGCTCGGCCTGAATATTACACCTTCTTTTGTCTTCAGGGAAGTCACGGGGCTCTACACTGGTAGCAGTGAAAAGCAGAATCAACCACAATGGCATCAATCTTAACACTTACCTCTGGGTTGTAAATTTTAGCGTGTCGAAAGAAGTGCATATGCTGTGCATGGGAGAGTCGGTGACCACGCCGAACCGATTCTCTGAAAATGACGTCAACCTTCAGCAACTACCCCAGTCTGGCAATCTACAAGAAGGCTATCAGCAGCCAAAACAACACTAGCCGTGAACTATCCGAAAAATTGCTCCCTCGAGCTGTCCGCCTTACCTGTATGAGGATATCAAATATGTGAAGGCACGACAACTTCTTCACTTCTCTACTAGCCAAGTAGGACCCAGATGGATAAGGCTGGAAAGATTTGAAGAGACAGTAACAGAACTGTATCAAACACCGTACTTTCGCTACAAGACTCAACTTTTAGACCAGCGTTCCTACGACTACTTAAGGACAGCATAATGGCCAGTCATTATTGGCTTCGAATCCAGTTCCTATACAGAATGATTCCTCATATCAGAGGCGTTGCAGTCAGATATCTTCTCAGTTGCATGCAAATTCGATGGCTGACAAGGTTGGCTTCTGGAGAATTTCCCTACTGCACTGTGATGGCTGACGCGATGGGTTAACCGGAGGGAAGCCCAGAGACGACGATCGAAAGTGGCTATGCAATACTTACGTTATTTTAATGCTTCTTTTAGAGAGGAGGCGGGCATGCGAATCAAACCTCATGACGAAGGAGTCAACGTCCTGCAACCCGGAGAAAGATCCCGTGTCCACACCTCCCTGAACATGAACTTGTACTCCCAATTTACTTATTTCATTAAACATGATGATACGGAATCAACCTGGGTGTTCCAAGAGTAGGAAAAGGCGATCTACGAGCCTCGTCCTACGATACATTGGTTTTCTTATAACTCTCGGTTTTAGTAAAGGGGCCAATTACGATCCCCGCCGTTACACCTTCGCCGGGTGAGCTGGCCTCTAGGCCATGTCAATAACCTCAGGCTCTATTCTGCGTCGAATACATGTTCTGCCTAGCATTTTGTCTTCTTCCGTCTTCAGGGAAGACTCGAGGCTCTACACACATGCAACACTCACAAATCCATGCTCCAAATTTTTGCAAAACGGTTGTAGACGTTTGTTAACAGTTTTAGGAACTATTGTCCAAAGTTATATTTATGCATTTAAATATAGCCCCCTCCCCTCCCCAAGACTTCCCTCAGGATGAAAAAGTCGTAATACTCTATCAAATCTTGGCTAAAATCTAAATACCAAATGTTGATTATCCATAAATTAGAAATATTCAGTGAAGCTTGATGATGTGGCACAAACACACCTCAATCGGGAGCGTTCATCTACACCGGATTCCTCACCAGAGATGGTGGTTCATTTGCTGGCGCTACTGGTTGATCTTCAACAGCATCAAATGGAATATCATGCTGCGGATACAGCACTCCTTCACAGCCAATGTTGGAGCCTCGACATTCTCACCGTTGCCACTGTCAAATACAGAAATCGCATCCAGAAAGTTCATGTAATAAGGATGCCACCAATCAATGCATCTAAAAGGCTTACTTCTTCGGAATTCAGTCAAAAAGTGTAAGGGGATTAGCGAACATACCTCCTTTTTCCACAGTAAGGAAGTCGATAGGAATTTACAAAACCAAGGGCAGCATGAACTCAATGACCTCTCGTTTTACTAACCTGTGATTTCGGTCAGTTTCTGCAAACATAGGAGAGCGTAGCTTTAAACATCATGATGACGCATATTTCTATCATTAACGAGTTCTGAAAAAAGCTGTGCCATTCAAGATACAAGAAGGAATTTCATCCAATTGACGAGCACCTTGGAAACTGAGCATTGGATAGCGATTCCAGGGCATGCACACCCAGAATCATCTCACGTCTTTTAAAAAGTGATATCTGTCCACCTCACTCGCTTTTCCATATCACAGTGCATCCCCATGCAACAGCCAAAAATAATGTCTAAGTATTCTCAAATAACAACTCAAAATATGCACAAAGTAGTCAACGATTTCCGCCAAATAAGAACTCACATTATAACCACATAATAGTACAATCAGTAATGGTAAGTAACCTCACCGCTGTTTGGGGATTTTTTTAATCGTTTGCACAGTCCATTCACACCAACACACCGTAATTTTTAACATACCATCGCTTCGAGGCCATGTAATCGCATCATTTCTCGAAGCTCCGGGACTATGACACCGCACAACTTGTGCGTTGCGTCTGAGCTACTTATGGCATTCGGTTGCATCTCATATATGCTCGGAAATTAATAGAATGATGTAAATATGGCGAGTGGAACCGAAAAAATGACAGGCCTTCCACAGAGGAGCCTTAAAAATGGCTGTTATTAGAGGTCTACGCGTATGTGGAAGCTGAACATGCATAGCCCGAGAGGTAGCACCGAACGGATGACCAGTAACACCCCTCAAAATGTCAGTCTTAGCATTCAAAGGAGTAATCAACCAGGCAAACGTCACCGTGATGCACTAAAACAAAAATTAATGATTTTGCACGAAAAGAAAACTAATAATATAACTTTATTAAGCCAATACTAAATTACTTTAATAGGGGAAGGCCCTTCTTATGCCACTTTTGCATAATTACGCATTTGTTATACAATGAGTTGATACTTGAATGTGTTAAATATTCACTCACTTTCAAATTGATAAAGCGGTGAGTCATGTCACGTATTCTTACCCTTTATTATTTACTGTTGTTGCTGGCATAGTTGTTTTTTGCTGCACTTTGGAATAATTTGTGGGATCTCTTGCATACAGTATAAATATGTGGCACTTTGAGCCTGCCCTTTGATCGTGACATGTCAAAATACCATAGAGGGGCATATGTTACTGGCGTACAGAAGAGTTGAAGGAGACCATATTGCAAATGGAAAGCGCAACTCCTGATGCTGATGTGTCTGCGTGGTTCAATGAACAGTCAGGTAAAATATCAAATCACCACATCCATACAGATGCGTATTTGCAATACATTTTTGCATTGCAAATGCATTTACAATACATTTTTGGCAACTCCAGACCAACTGCATTAATTGAGTCATTCCCTCGAATCACTCCAAGTGAAGCGACGACATTGCTAACAAGCCCAAACTCCTTTGTAAACTGCCGCAGATGTGGTGGTTGCTGCAATGTGTGATTCCTTTCATTACTCTTGTTCCATAGTGTTACTTTCAGGTCTACTAGCTGTGCCAAACACATGTTCCATTGCGGTCGCCTTTTTACCAGTTTTGGGTGTGGCCTTTGCGTACTCCATAGAGCTGTCATGTCAAGACTATTAGAACCCTTCATCGGATCATATGCATCCATACCATGGCATTATTGAAGTCTAGACTCAGTAAGCTGACTTACTCATCTCCTTTCTATTGTGCTACTTGGTGCCCCCACATCCCTTTAGAAAGAAAAGGCGTTAATTATTTAAATTGATTCACTAATCACTGAACTTAAATCTGCAGATGCACACAATTTGTGCCATGTCATTAGCAGTGTCGCATCCGAAGATGCTCACTTACCAACAACCGTAATTTTAGCTCGCATTTCTATTTCCCAATCTCTTATCAGGTGTTTCATTTTGTGGGCAGGTGCCTTTTTAAAATCACTCAATTTAACCGAGAACACAACATATTTTACTATTTACCCAATGGAATTTAGTACCGACTTCAACAATCCTGAATGAGCCGCATCCCTTCTCATTCATATGATAAGGGTGCTTATGTTTTGTAACATTTGGCAGGTAACAGTGATTACTTTTCCCCTTTCCTTTTGCAGGATTCGACAAATCGGACACCAGTTGGTTGCTAAAACGTATTCTATAAGCTTGTCAAGGGGAACAGGGTAAATTCAACGCCTCGCGGACGTTATTCGGTGCGCAGTCCACCGCGGTGTCAGGGAAAAATGTACAAATTAAGCCATTTCGCAGGTAAAAGAGTTCACGTTCGTTACATCCTGGCAACTTAGTCAATTAAGCATCATTCGTGCACTTTCGAGGCCATTTTGCTAACCGAATCGCCGATCCGCACTCCATCCTCATGCCTATTCACACTAAGTACAAGGACCGATCCGCATTGATGAGCACCCATCCACCGCCCATGCAAGGTGACTTTGCAAATCTTGCGATTCCTCTGGAGCGATAGTAGGTGATTGTAAAGCTTACTTACTGGCTGTAGCTTTGGTTTTTAATCATACCTAGTGGTTATATTAGGATTTTGATTGATACACTGATTGCGTACTGCTCAAAGGCCTCGGTGATGAGAGGTGGCCTAAGTTAAAGATTTCCAACACATTAGGCTGTTGAGCGTAATATCTTTGCGCAAACAAACTTGAATGCTGAAATACACCCTTTATTTGCGGAAATAGTTGAAACGAAGGCACCGAGTGTAAGTGGAATTTTCCTAGGATGATAGTAATAGCTGGATAAGCTAAATAAAAGCAGCACTTTCGCCATAGCACACTCTCATCATTCGTTTCAACCAATCTTGACAATTTTAATGGCAATAATTTCATTTATGCCTAAAAAGCTACTAAAGTTAGCGAATATATATATAAATAAGGTCTTGAATATTAAAATCATAAATGATAAACTGGGTTGTAGCGGCGTCGCTCTGCAGCCTGAACAGCGTGGCGCCGAACTGGATCGGTCTAAAACAAGCAATGGAGAGCAAGTTCGCACTTAATCTGTTGACTCTCATCACTTCAATTTGTTTACTGGTAATTTACGCGGGCAAAAATAGGGTGGCAAAATTTCCGATGATGCGGTGGGCAAGTTGACTTGAGATCGCCCACTCGATCGCCTAAACTGGTCTTATCAACCGAAACAGGGGTTACACATTCAAAAAGGTGAGGTGCATAAATCGCCAAACCTCCAACAAAAAAATATGTGTTGACCTTAAGGGTACAATAAATAGTAACTAGTTATATCTACTAGGAATTAGTGAATACTCTAGAACAACCATTTTTATTTAATCTCATCCATGTTTTATAATTACCCTTAGAGAGCTCTTTCGAAATCCCAGTCGAACATGTTTATTCAAGCAAAACGCACCGGATATCCTCGGCCTCCAGCTGTAGTAGCAGTAGAAGCAGCACGTCTCCGAGATGAACCTTGCATCCGTTCTGAATCACTAAGGCTTAGATTGCTCAATTCGAATACGTATATCGAGTCCTGAGGACTTAAGTTTTCTTGACCCTAAAATTTATACCGATTCACTGAATGAGGAAACCTTTGCCGTGGCAGCTAACTCCAATAATGTACCCAGAGCAATCACGTTTGAATAATCAAACTCGCAGGTCCGATGAATATCACTTAACGATTGAGACAGTTTCTTGCAACTACAATAAGTGATTTATCAGAAAAGTCTTGCTTCACTGGTAACAAAACACTCGTGCATAATTCCAACAATTCGACAAGGCAAAAAATAATGCCAATTTACTCTCAAGTTGAGCAACGCAAGTGGCATGCTAGTTGAGAGGGTAAAACCTGAAACTCCATGACACACCGCTAGGCGTTGCTGCGCACAAATGCGTGCGGGGATCGTTGGTCGAGAAAATCAGTCTTGCATCCCCGTTTTTGATGCTCAAAAATGGGGTATGCTTCGAACTGCGTAAAATCTACCATCCATATAGAATGCGTGCTCAGTTTCAAACAATGTTTCACACGGAATCCATGAAAACAGAGCATGGGTTGCAAAGGCAGCCACATAGAACTTACCGAGTCGACATGTTGTTGACTCATGCTCTGAACACTCTGACATCTTGATAGGGTTGTGCGAGTTTCTTGAGCCTCGATAAGAATCCCCGCTTCCTCCTGTTATTTAGTAGTACGGATGAGACTTTATTTATGAAACCCTTTCAACACATCGTCTTGAAAAATGGGAGGCCAATTAGCAGTAGCTCGGGTTTGCATTAGGCAGGCGCACAACTCGTGCTTATTTGAGCAACGCGGACCCGTACGCTCCCGGTTAACTATCGTCAGAAGCGCTGAATGGTCTTCATCTGATCAACGCTAACCTGCTTCCACGGCGAGGTGGTGCTCTGATATTGAGCTAGTGTTTATGCGTTTTCTGAACCCATTCCTTCTTCATCCACATGGCTCATGAGAAAGCACAAGTAGAAGAATACTCCGTTTAGTAAGACCTTAGATTCCACTCTTGAATAAGGCTACTTAACAAGAAAAAATGAGTTGCCTAGACTCGCAACTTTGAGCGGAGTCTACCCGAATTCAGCTAGGTCTAACCTGACGATTTGATGGTCTTTGGACAGCTGCCATATTCACGAGGTCTCTATACAGTGACCTCACATCTCCTCGGCAAGTTGGACAGTTATCGGCCTGATTCAGCCACGTGTCGATACAGCTTTTATGAAAGAAATGATGGCACGGCAAAAGACGAACGGGGTCATTCAATTCGTAAATATCTAAAAAGGTCGCATAATAATATAACCAGCGAAATTATTTTAGGAAATACGTGGGACAAAATTGCAAGGAAATGAATGGATTTACCTTCTTTTATAATTAAAGGGGTGAACAAAAACTAGCATTCCTTGAAAATTTGATTTCACAGCTTACATGAAAACTCAGAAAATTCAAAATGGTAGTGTTGCAGCCCTCCCCTCCCCCGATACTATATTAAATTACGTGCTATTAAACTGACTGTAAGGCATCCCACCTATTTACTCGTAAAGACAAGTATGTGGGTAAAAAAGGTCAAATGTACTTTGCATATAAATATTACCAAAGCCTTACTTACCCAAACAAATGGCACAAGGCGAAAATGTTGAGAGATCGGGTCGCAAAAACTGCGAAATGGGCAAACTGGAATCGAGTTGTAGGTTTATATCTAGCATATCACGCTCTATCAGTGACGGAACTTACTGCCGCTAGAAGTGAACGAAACTGTGGTCACAGGAAGATTTTTGAGACAATCGCGCATGGGCGGACCGTGAACCGGACACCATCGAGAATGGCGATGGTTAGAATGAATATCATTCCCACTCCTAGGCACACAAGACTTAGAAGCTGGTAACGCGAATGGACCATCTTCTTAATGATATTTGAGAATGTATCTTGTTCATTCTATTTCCACTTGTGTTAAATACCCATTGCCAGAATTGGGGAACGATGATTAAACTGTCCACAAACTTAATTGCAGGCCCAACCACCAAAAATAGAGTAAAAATATTCAAAAGGTGGTATCTTAAGGGCTGCTTTAAAGCAGAACAAACACTGCTGGCAAAAATACCGACCTTGTTCGAGAAGCTCCTCCAACGTGGATTCTGCCGCGAGTACGTTCAATGCGGCTCCAGTAGGCCATAAGTCCAGTATTCTTTCTACTTGAACAGTGTTAGAACGAGTGCAGCTCTAACGTTGCATGATCCCAGCATCTACTATGTGGCAGTATATTTAAATAAACACAGGAACTGCTCATCTATGTTCCCAGTATAGTTTATTTGAAGTTAATGCTCTGAAACCTACCACATGAATCCCTTTCGTGCAAAACGTGCTATATGTGCAGTACATATAACCAAAGAAGGACTAACGATGCCTAATCATTCGCACCAAAGCAATTTCTCTTTGATATTAAATTAAAAGGGATAAGTGACTCAAATCAACAAAAAAAGCCGACATGAAATCAACCATATACAAGAAAGTGCTTTTTTGAGCCAAGACATATTATCAAGGCAAGGTAAGTCTACTTTAGAAAGTTTATTTTTAAGTCCGTGTTTGTTTTATCAAACCCACGATTTAGGCACGCTTTAAAATTAAGTAATAACCGGATTTCGTGTCATTACGATGTTTCCCTACTTCGACGATGATATTTTCGTCCCCATCCCAGACTTTTCACAGACTTTATTTAATCACAATACCCTCTTTCCTCTGAGATGCCATATGGATACAGATAATGCTTCCGAAACAATAAGGATTCTATGCCACTCAATGAATGATTTCTTTCGTCAAGCCGCCGAGACATTTGTATCGGACTCGGATAACACAAACCCTCTCGCAACTCAAAAATTTTTGTATGCATTGGTTTTTTGCCTTTGCCTGCCTTTAATTGTCACTTATTCCTTCAATGCGTCATAATTCAAATTATACCCTTCCTAGTCATTTAGTCTATTATTACGTCCATATTGGCGTTATTAAGAGTGTCCGCTTTAGCATTGCTTTTATAGTACACCATTATGCAGCTTAAAATATTTTTAAACGCAGTAATAACCCGATAAATATATGTCAGCGACGCATATATCATCGGCAGCGGAGATTGCAGGAGTATGAAATGAACCTTCGTAGACGCAGCATCCCCCCACCCATTCCATTTTCGCCATCCTCTCGTCGAGCGATTCACTATTTAGATTATTTGCCAGTTACTACAGTTCGAGTCCGAAATTTTAATCAGGGTGGTTCGGCAGAAGACAATCCTCAAGAATGGTAAAGTATACGATATTTCTCGACTTAAATCATATATCCACTGTCCTTTTAAAAGTTTACATCACATTTCTATTTTAATGGACTTTTGTTGCATATTTTGTCTTGATTATTCAGTGGTGCATTTATGTACATGTTCACTGAAATTCCATGCTGGAACTTATGCACATTTCAACGATAGATCCTAGCTTTAGGTGATGATCAGAGCTACTTCATTATGTAGTTTTTTTCCAATGTTTTTACTACACTTTATTTTAAGAAGGGTATTCTGTAAATCATTTTATTGTCCTTGATCTCCTTTACCCTTTATTTATCTTCTACTTAGCTTTCATTGACAAATCTACTCATGTATTTTTAACCTAAAGTTTTGTATGCTTTGTTTCGTAAATTATTGCATCAGTTGGAGCAGAGCTGTAAATGAGACCTGAAAAGCGCAGTTTTCAATTCCTCTCCTACTTTTTAAATTTTAGTCCTCCTTCTGGTAGTTTCTCCGATAAATCGCCTTCTAACACTGCAAACAATGCTTCAAAAATTGCAGATTCTTCAAAAGCATCAGACAGTGCACTTGAGTATTCCCTTTGCATAGATCGCAAAGCCGAATGTCGTTTGCGGCACCTGATACCACTACAGCCTTTACGCGTTGGACCTAACGGTAGAAAACCAGAATGTGATATTTGTTTGTGTAAGTTGGAGTTGCCATTTTTAGTTGATTTAGATGTTGCGCCGTTAACGACTGATTCCTTTACCTCAACCATTATTGTCACTTAAGTTAGCTAAACTCTAGCAAGCATTAATAATGCTGACGCCTGCTAAACTTTGCGTTAGTCAATTTTAATTGCCATAAGGTGAACTGCTACTGTCTGTGTGACATAAAGTAAATCCATGTTAATAAGAGATGGCTCGGTTTCGTAAGCAGTTTCAGTAAATTAGTTTGACACAGGTTGAATTTCGGTTTCATTTATTTCAAATATGCCCTACACATAATCACCTGGATTAGCTTTGTTCTGGTAGATTTATTTTCAAGGCAGTTTTACTACTAATGCTAATACCTCCGATAACAGCTAACTAAATGGTACTAAAGTATTGTATGCTAATATGGACATGCAATGCGGCGACTGAATTCATGGAGGTGCTGCGACAGCTCTGCTCTTTATGTGTAAACTACCGTAGCGGAATACGAGTCGGGACACAAGTTGCGGCACCTGCCATGCGGCCACGGCTTTCATCGTGAGTGCATTGACACGTGGCTAGGAACGGCGGAAACTTGCCCTAAGTGCCGCAAAAATGTGGTTGGTTGCCTACGTCGCCTACAGACGAAGGAGGCTCACATGCGCTCTCAGTCTCTCACCAAGCCACTTCCCTCTCTCCGCGTCCCCTCAATCCCCTCATCTGGCACCACCGACTCTTCAGTGAGCTTCCCACATCCTCTCTTGATTTGACCATAACTAATTTCCACGACAAACGGCAGACTAGGCCGGAACAAGCATAATTTTCTCAGTATGTGTAGAAAAACAAATCGCGATTTTCAAAAGTTTTTCTGTTTTATTCGTTTTATTATTTGAAAGACAGAAAGAGGGAGGCCTCCATGTATAACTACTCCAAGTCTCGGGAAAAATCACAACGGGGCATCCAGCTACTCTAATTCATTATAATAAAAATAACGTTCTTGAAGCTTTGGTTCTAAATGTTAAGCGATTACATTCTTTTAGCAATTAACCTAAAACGTAGATTTATTCTCCACAACTGTATAAGGTCAAATTCCTCATTTTGCGGTTGAGTTTCCGGTCTAGTGTAAACTTTTTGTATATTTGATATAATTAAACTTCATAGGCACTTGAAAATTTATATATTCCTAAGTCTACGTAATCTTGCTTCTTAAAATATTGAATATTAAGCCCTCGGTAGTTGCAAAGGTGTGATTTACCACTACGTGAATGAGTTTGGTAACTTAGAGATCAGTAGTGCTCAATCAAAAACAGGAGAAATGTAAAATAATGTAATCAATTAACAGAGAATTGTTTAAGCATTTGCTAATCTGTCTACCTTGTTTATCCGGGTATCATTCCAGCATTCAATTTCAACAATTGCTGCACGCTTTTTTACAGTTAATTTTGGCAACAGTTATTTTAACAAAATTAAAATTCACTCACGATTTCGTTTTGTGGTCTGGTCTAAAGTTGCACCAGTTCTAACTTTTTTCCGACTGCAAAAAAGTCCCGATTTTACTGCAAAATAATCAATGTAGAGAGCTGAAAGAATTAAATTGCCTATCCACACCTCCTATTGAACCCAGACTACAAAACCGCATTGTCCAGTTTTGGTGAACCACACGCGCTCGAGTATTCTGCGCACCCAACTAGCTGAGCAGCGTCGCGCAGCCGAGGCACAGTCTACATCGGCATCGATACCGATTTCGGCACCACGAGCGCATGGGACAGTCAGTGTCAAACCAAGTGGGCAGGCCAGCAAGCCGCCGCTGCCCCCCATTGCTTCCATCCAGCCGTCCAAAGTCAAAGGAGACATGGAATCCATTAGCCTAGCCACTATCAGTACCACATCCGCCGCCACTACTGCTCCCGATTCTGACGCCACAGCTGACGCGCCTAATATTACCGTTCCGCTGCCATTGCAACCCATACAGCGTACCCTTTTCGTTGAGAATAGGAAGGAAAATGGAGAAGTGGTAAAGTTATTGACTTTCTAGCTTTTTAAATTTCGCCATCTAAAGAGTACATGGTAACTTGTTAACAGGCTCAGTATGAGTACTCAGTGGATTTCTGGAGAGTCCATCGTTATGGGCCAATGCTGCGAATTCTTCTAAAACAGTCATAGCATGGCTAGTATACGCTCTCCCCAAATTAAAATGACCATTACTTTTCGCCATTACTCTGAATGTATATAAACCCGGAAAATTTGCCATTCGTATACCTTGTTCATCTATGTCACTCTCTCTCCCTTTCGATTAGTCTAGATTGGCACTATTGACTATTTATCGTCATCCTTAAAACTTATTGCAGTGAAATTGAAGTGAATCAGAATGGGACACTTCTATCTCATCGCTCTTATCAACCCATTAGCATTTTATTTCTTTCGTTAGGAATAACTTGTGGAACTACTTGTCTGCTTTTGTAGCCCATTTATGTTAACTTTAGTTTTATATTCAATCCCGATATTTTGTTTGGACAAATTTATGAGCAGAATGATTTGGGAAATGCCAACGTCGAATATACGTTTTCCTTTGCTGAGGCCATTTGAGTTATCCGATTTTTGTGATCTTCTGGGTACTTGCATGGATTCAAAGATGAAAATTTTAGAGTATTTGGCTGGTCACTTATCACCGAGTTAGAGATTGCATCGGATTTGTAGTTCTCCAAGTACGTAATGAATAAAATTTTGTAAAATCATTTTCCACTGCCATTTCTGGTACCCATTTTTAGTACCCGGAATACATTTCTTTGTGCCTTATATTAGGAATTTTGAGTTTTCAGTCCATCAGGTGCTCCCTATGACTTCCGTTTTGTGATGTAAAAGGAGTACATATGCTTATGCCAAATGTGAGGATTGGAATCAGACACCATAACCGAGTGCATATGTCAAAACCTAATAAGTCGACTAACTGCTAGGCTTGCTGTGAATATTCTACTTATGTAATTTAAGTACAAAATTTTAGTTTCTCAAATATACCTTTTGTTATTTTTAGTGTCAGGAAGCGCGTAAAAAGGCGGTAGAAGCAGCCTTGAAGCGCTACGAGTGTGCCCGACAAAGTTTTTGCGAAAACTTTTACCAGGAGAAGTAGAGGAGCCTCAGAATTCCCATTTCTTTTTTTCCCTATCCACCTGCTACTGTACGTGAACAGTTCGAGCCCTATGGTGTGCTGTATACTAATGCATGCGAAAGGTGCATGGCTCGTAAGCATTAAATGTAACCACTGCTAAAAGTGGCATTTTATGTTGGGAAATGGTTTTTCTAAAGCTCTGTGGGCGTGGCTAATGCGCTGAATTTCCGAGTGTTAAGTGGTGAAATGAACTAGACGATGGTGGGATTTTGTTTAATTGCTTGAAAAGAAAGTGGGGAAATTATGGTGAGTACTCCACGCATCATTTTTTGATATTGTGTTGCTAATGTTTGAAATACCGGGGGGGGGGGGGGCTGTTATCATCATGACCTGAAGGCCATATAGCGGAGCCGACTATCCACTCGCTGCAGTATGATCGGACTACAACAGCACTGAGTATACGCCCGGTGTTGAATACTGCAATACTAAAGGTAAACATGTTTGACTTAGCCATCAGAATAACCTGGCAGGTGAGTGGGATACGAAGAACCTACTTTGCTTTGAATAGCCCGTTCTTCTTAGAGAGAAGCACTCAAATCAACGAGTGAGCAGTTAAACGGAGCAGTTCAAATCTTCCAAGTGGTCAGTCACCGAGCGCGGCTGTGGACGCATTAATCACACGACCAGTGTGTGTGTGTGTGTGGTTGATTATGATTTCTCCCAGATGTGGGTGTGAGGGTGATGGTGGTGTTTGTTGCTCACATTAATTTGCAGACTGAATTTTTTATAGCTTCTCCCTCCCCATGGGGAAACATTTGGGGGTTTAATTAAACTTGACTTCACCTCCTCTAATACTGAACACACCCCCTACCACCACCACCACCACTAATCCTTATCAAGCACCTCTGCAGAAGGACTAATTGACTCAATTATTTACCCACTCGCAATCACCACACTTCAAATTCACTGCTATAAAGGTGCAGTAGCCTTAAGCCTATCTTCACGTTCAAGCAACCCTGGAAAGAGTGATTATGAGTGCAATTCGAATATTTCCAGGAATAATTATTTAAGCCTCATGAGTTACTGTTTGACTGTACTTTGATTCAAATTTAAAAGTGTGTTGAACACTGCGTTACTGCAAACAACTGTTCGTCCCACAGTGACTTCAAATAACTGGTTCTTCGGCCTAAAATTAACAAGCAGCGCAAGATAAAAGTCCTTTACTTCTTTTGTTATCAACCCCTCAAGATTTGCTTTGCCGCAATCGGTGCTTTCAAGTTCATAATGTGATTAATTCGAAAACTAGTCATTCATCTCTCTGGCTCCAGACAATACATCGCTGCTAGAGGTCGTAGACTCTGTCGAACACCTCTTTTTCTGCTTCTAAATTATGGATATTTACGGTATATCATTACCAACCACAGGCATTAATTTTTTGGTGTTTTGAAAGTCCAGCACTTGTTTATCACGTGATATTTAGAGGAAAATGGTATAATTTTTTCCTTTCGTTCATTTTTAATTCATTAGAAATAAACTCAATTTTAATTGTTAATACATGGGTGTTATTTTAATGCGTTCTTTAGTATTCTGAAATTTCCACCCAAGATCGCTAAATGAAAAGCGCATTTAAAGCTCTTTCTTTACAACCTAGAGCAGAATGCTAAATCGTAGTGATTACTTCACGCTACATCATTTACCTCCCGCTAATTACAAACCGAATTTGTATTTTATCATCGTCAATGTTGTGTTCACTCATAACGCAATCGTGTTTGCCTCTCCATGCTTCATTCTCCCAAAAGACAGGAGTGCGTTCACATGGATTGTAGCAAAGGACAACCGTTTTGAATGCGAAGGCCGAAATACCTTGAGTCCAGCGGTGCCTATAGGGTACCGGGTGGCGAACACATTGCCACTATGGATCCGGGACACCAGCACTAGTTGACTCAACTAATGCTATTTTAGCACTTTTCCTGCCTGAATTTAAAAAAAAGCGGCAATTTTCTGCACTACAGAAAGCGATTTTTCACTAGCAGATGCAAGCACCCAATTCCACATTCCTGGTGTAATTTCGCTCTACTCTAGACGGAAGTATATTACTGAAACGCATCCAGTCAAAATGGGGGTCTGATATTTATTACTGTTGTAGTGTTTTGAAACAGGCAGTTTTAAAGGGCTCATTTCATTAGGCCTAAATCAACACGGCCGTAAAATAGTAGTTTTGTCGGTTTTGTATTGCACTGGCATGTATGTTTACAGGTTCTTCCTTCCCACAAGATACTACTTTAACAGTCATTAGGGGCAGCATTTATGATCGCCTTTCATAAAACCCTTAGTCCACATTGATAGATTTTAGATCCTGAGATCGCTGAAGGGTCCTGTTAAGCAGCGAGGTTAAGTGATTCTCCAGTACCATAACGCCGTCTCAATGTATTTACACCCCCTCTTTTCCTTCGCTGCCCCCCCCCCCCACCACAATCTGTGACCTGCAAAGTGTACACACTTTGAAACTTTATGGCAAATTTGACTTGATTTGTTTTGCTGCCACCACCTCCCCCTCCGCAACCTGCTGTTTGCGGGTCAGTCCATTTTATGGTAGTTCTGCAAACTTTTTCGGGTTCTGCTGAAAGGGGTAGGGGAGATGGCTGGCCCTGCCACCGCGGCTGTTGCTGATGTAGCTGCTGTATTAGATGTTACACACTTCACAGTCGGTAGTGCACGAATGCACTGCTTCCGTCACATCTGATTGGACTTCGAATGATTTCTCATATGTATCACCATTAAAAGAGTTCATGAAAGCGTGTGGGAAGTTGCCCACATGGCCTGAATGCTGAAGTTGTTGCTGCAAGACTTTGCCATTTAAATGGGGACAGAAAAGACGTAAAGTTTGTTGTCACTGTGTCATTGCAGCGGTCACATCAAGTGAGCAATGCGGAGATAACATCATTATCCTTGCGAATGGGTAGATAGAGTGTCCCTGTTTTAAAAATTAAGAAACCAAATATTTGTACCAATGAGTTACACATCGAAGTCCTATTTAGAGGACTTCGGTGGATTAAAATGTAAATTTAAGGCAGTAACTCTTTTTTTAAATGAAAGACCCACTTGCTGATTCTGTTCAAACATTTTAAGAGCAATTTTCAAGTACAATCAAATCATGAATAGAATGCATTTTGGCAAAGTTAGTTTGTTCCTAATTTTTAACTAAGATCATGGAGTGAGTGGTGCAAATGAGACAGTCCAATTCATCTAATATCTGAAGACAGCTAAACATTTTGAAATGCATTTCACGGTTTATACAAATGGATAACAACTACAAAGGTAAATGGTAATAGGTCTAAATTGAACGTTATAAAAGAATCAAATTATTCACAAAGCATTAGCCTTAAAAACAAGCAATCAAATTCGGAGTCCACAAAGGGTTCCTTTCAGGATAAGAAGATTTACAGGTCACGATTTTCTCTTGTTAGATTCCACAAATCTAATTATCATATGATAGTAGTCATGCAGTTGTGACTTGACTCCTCATTCCTCAAAACAAATTCAGTATATTCCAAAGTCCGCATATTATCATTAAAACCAGTTATTCAGCTGCTCTCTAGTCCGCACGATAGGCCCAGAGCCTGGAACCGCACGAAATCGCGTTATTGATAATGTTGCGCACTCATGCCGACTGTCTCGCGATGATTGGTTGGCGCAAAGCGCGCATCGCCACCACGTTCCCTCCACTTAATCGCTCGGCGAACCATTAGCCAATTGCGTGCCAGTAAGTCCGGAGAGTTCAGTGTAGCCTTTTTAAACTGGTCGGGTCCAAATTAAGGCTCACTTACTAAATAGTGTAATAGCGGCTGGCAAATTTTTATGTACACGTAAGTATAATAATGATTCATAATTAAGCCTAAATACGTGGTGGTTTCGAGTGCTCTCGAGCGAAGGTATAAACCGGATTAAATAGATAGTTGTAGTGGCTTCTACTCCATTTCTCATAAGTAAGTCGATACCGTTAATGCTTGCATAAACTTCTGACCAATATCTAGAAGGTGTCGAATTATTAACTATCACACTCCAGAAATTTGTAATACACTCCTCTTCATATTTTTTGTTGCGTATCTTTCGTGAACCACCAAGATCTAAAAATTTTGATTATCTCGTCTGAATTTTTCGCCCATTAGCAAAATGCTTTACTTCAATTGTAAAGGATGCATCATTGATAACACTTTTGACGATTAGAAAATCATCTAAAATAAGTGTTCTTAAGAGGATTTTGTAGGTCTTATAGTCCACCTTTTAGGAGATAAAGATGTACAAGCCATTCAGTGACACAATTGCTTCGATTCCTCCCTTCCTCACCACGTTTTCCCATGGCGAGTTACTCAGTCATCTGGCCAGTGGACTTGCAACTCTCGACACCTCTGCTACCGTCACCGCCGCCTCAACACCCTCCACTTCCCTCTGTCTCTGTCCCTATCCCACCACTGCACCGCCGTTTCCTCTTCCTCTGCCACCCCTCCAACTGTCTTTCTGCTGCAGTCCACCCTCCGCCCCCCTCCTTACTTCCTCTCCTACGCCCCAGTCCCACCATTCCGATGCCATCCCCGCGGGGACCCCGGCGTCGGCAATTGTAGCGGCGGAGGTAAAGGAGCAGATGCCGTCGGCTTCAACGTCCCATTTGGCTGGAAAACGAAAATTTAAGGAGACCACGATGGCGGGGCAGATGGTGGTGGGTAGGGATATTAAGCGTTACCGCACGACTTATTCGCCCTACCAGAGCAAGGTACTCGAAGAGGTTTTTCAGACTGAGCGCTACATCTCCCGTCCCCAGAGGGCCCAGCTAGCCACCCAGCTCCAGCTGCCAGAGAACACCATCAAGGTGAGTGTCACCTTTTTAAGTTGTGCTGTAAGAAGATAAAGATGTTTGCCACTGACTGAGTAGGAGCTATAAGCCGTTCGCTAGCACGTTTATTCGATTGTTTTTTTGTAAACTATGAGAGCAAATTACTCGCGCTAATAGCTCAACTAACCTCAATTATTTACTCCTTAAAAAGGGGTAAATGCCTCCTTATCTATCATGATGTCGATTAATTAATAGTTAAACTAATTACTAAGATATTTTCTAACACCTCATTCAAGGTATAACAGTACCGGAATTTTATCTTTCTGGAACCTGTTTTTCGGATTTGTTAGTGCTTTCATTAGTCTTGTGTTAAGAAAGTCAGAATCCTCTAATAAAATGCTTGTGTTAATCAGACAGTTGTCCAATTTGTATTACACTGATTACCCTTTGATTTAGGTGTGGTTTCAAAACAGACGAATGAAGGAGAAACGGCAGTCTATGATGTTGCCAAGTGTAGCAGGTAAACCCGTTTATGAAATGACTTATACCACAACACTGTAAAGTTACTAAGCCTCTCGAATTTTGCCAACATTTCAACTATTTACGATCCAGTTTCCATGAAGAGGGTAACTCATTTTAGGAAGCAGTTTATTTATCATAAATTCGCTATGTAAATAAATCTAATCATGTAATTACATGTGATAGGCTGCATCGCAGATGTGATGTTACAGTTGAACTGATAGCGTTGGCGCCACATTGTTACCCACACAGGGCCATCTGATTCAACCTCTTGATAACGTGGGGGCCCGACGGAATGGAAACCCCACAGGGTTATCAATTTGTGCGGACTTAAGCCGCAAACCCCTCTCCCCTGTCATCAATTTTATGATCGTAATCCACTTTCATTGCGAGTTACTCTACTAATCTATGACAAACTTCTGATAGTTCACAACTGGATCATAGCACTTTGTTGTGCATAATACTTTTGAAAGTGGGTTCTACACAATTCATGTGACCACACTTTCCAAGAAAGTAGTTGAATAGGGACAGCATTTTTGCCCCATTTCCTGTAACAAAGGTAAGAGGTGTTTAATTAACTCACCGAATAGGTAGTTTGGGACATTAAATTAATGAATGAAACATCTTTTTTAGTCATTTAGTGAAAGCGAAAAATGACTTTGCTTAGGATCGGTGGGCAGCATTTATGGTATTTTTCGTTAACATCCTAGCTTGACCTGAAAGAATAATTACACTCCATTATTTAGATTAATTTGACAAAGGTGACTAGAATTTAGTTAAAATCAATTACCTCTGAAACAATAGCCCTATAGTTGCTCAGAGTTCGGTTACTTTGGTTTACGCATAATTCCTGAGGCTGCATTGAGGAAAAGAAATTTAAGGTTATTTGAATGATCATTCTTATTAGCAGTAGTATTAGTATTATTGCAGAGTTATACTTAAGAGTCTACGGTACACTTTTTTACTTGATGCAGCTGAAACACACTTCAATGAAATAACAATCGTATCACCGAATGCATAATCAGGTTTGTACATATTGATGCGGTTTACACTATAAATGCAATTGCAGGAAGTGATCCATACCTGCGTGAGACTCTCCTCCATGTGGCCAAGCTCTACTGTGACTTCCATCAGAAAAAACAGCAGCACTCGCAGCCGGCAGTGGAGATGTCTGTTGAGATGGCTCCGACAGCGGTCGCAAGAGGCGGCAGTGAGTCGGCCTCCCCGGTGGGGGAGCAGAGGACAGGGCAATGCGAGTCCTCTCACTCCACCTCCAGCTCCTCGCCCCCTGCACCCTCCACCTCGGCGTCGGCGTCTAGCTTCTCCGTCGATAGCCTCTGTCCCCTGCCACCAGCTAAATCGTCAGAGAAACAGTATCTCTTTCGTCCCTTCTGAGCAGAACTTTCCCTTCCCTCTTATCATTTCACGCACACAATTGCACCCATTCTGTATCATATCTGGGTTGCACGATGCGTCCATAGGACATATTTCTTTTTTAAAATATAATATTCCCCCATAGTGTCCTAAGAGGCCCCTTCTTCCGTCTTCCAAACCTAATGTCAATTTGTGCTAAGGTCAAATGAAGGGGTTTGATAATAGGTGCCACTATATGATACTGTAAAAATTATTGCCTAAATATGATTGCACAATTTGTACTGGGATAGTTAGATAAGTTTGTTTACATGTTGCCTTTTTCAAGACAAGAATTTGCGATGGAAATTATCCCAGTTGATAGATACATTTCCACCAAACTAAATATGGTTACTGCAAGAAACTGAATTGTTGAAGAGATAAGAAAGTCGGTGTGAGGACTAAATGGTAACTTTTAGGTTAAATAGAACCATAAGTTATGGTGTTAGCAAGAGACTTCTATAAATCCAACCAGTAGGTAACATCTACTGATTCACGTACTCAAGAAGGGAAGTCATTTACTCTGTTCACTTAGTCACTGAAAATCAGAATATTGCACTTGCTGTAGTTACGAACAATTGCACATAAACCTAAAAAGCTTCTTTTTGTTGACCATGAACAGCTACGACCACGTCTATACTCAGGATCACAGCACTAAGGGATGCTGCAGCCTAAAAGTGACTTCTTATTTTTAATTCCAGTGCAGTTTATGGTATCTGCTGTGTGTCAAAAGCCTTACGGCAGAACTCATCATCATCTATGCACCTTGGTAGAACCAATTAGCCGTAAAGTTGTCGTCAAAAGTAAATGATAATGCAATAACAGAAAATTCGTTCTGAAATCCTTTAAATTTTGGAAATGAAGTATAATGTGGTTACTTTCTAGGTAAGGGACTGCAGATTTTAATCTAGTTAGGCTCATCGTTTAGTTTGAATATAAGGGCCTCGATGGACAAAAGGCATGTCAGTTATTTAAATGAGACTATTACCTTTACTTCAACTTTGATTACAGACTTTTACATGATGAATAGGTTCAGCTAAAATGCTCAGCACAGAATCTAATGTTTTTTAACTACCCTAGATTATTTGCTTCATTAATTGATCCAAGTTGGTGATAGCACATATACTTAAATTTACGGAACACTTGAATGGATAGTTCCACGTACCCCGAGCTCCAATAATGGTTCAACTGAATTAAGTGTAGGTGTCTCAGACTTGAAATAGGGATGTAATTACAAATCTACGTTAAAACAGGAGATTTGTGAGCGAGTGGTGGTAATCATAGGCCTCTGCCCTCATCCAATATGAATGAAAGTGCTCCTCTCCCCTCCGCTCCGAGGCGAAGCGTGAGAGTCACATTGGCACAGGTGTGCTGGTGTGCTGAGGTCAGACCTCGGCCTCATGCAGTGGGTAAACGTCTTTCTCAGCGCAGATTGTCTACAGGAGCAGGATTATGAGAATGGACTCAGGTCCCCACTGAGGGAAAACTGCGATCTGCCTTGCGTACACATACAACCGCCAGTGCGAGTGATTAACAACTCCAAGTAAGCCAGGCCACCAATGTACAATCTAGGAGCTAATACCACTCTTCAATCTTAACATGACAGTTTCTCGGTCAGTGTTCCTTCATTTCAGATAGATATTTAAGCACTATAAAGCCTACCTCACCTTCGTACAGGTTAGATAAATACTATACTATCACAGTCGCATGTGCCATTACAATCTACCAATTGCCGAAAACGATAGAAAAACACTAACCCATACTAGCGTCAAGTGTATTTAATATCCAAGACGACGGGTTAAAACTTGTTTCCACTATTTGATTACTGTTTCCTGCGTGTGGTAAAAAAGGGGCGCTGATTTCGCTTCTCTTTAAAGGTACAAATAAAGTGAAAAAGCTTTCACATAATTTTAAGAACAGCAGTTATGTCTGGAAATAGCCTTCTATTGTCAGTGCCAGTGAAGTCACACAGTGTGCCGAGAGGTTGCTTCGAGCAAGGTAGTGCACCGATTTCATCGGTGTGAAGGTGGAGCCGCAATCGCTGGGTTAACTGCTTCGAAGTACGCCGAAGAGACCAGAGATGAGAGAGGCGCTTCCAGAGTCCATGACACATTAGACTTAGATGAATTTCCGGTGGATTATCGTGTGCAGAGGCAGATTTGGAAAATGAATAGACATCCCTAGAAGTGCACAAAATACCATAGAGTAATGTTAGCTAGCTACTGAAATAGTGAGCAGTAAAGTAATTTTTATATCACTGCTACCTGATTATAAGTTCAGCCGCTTTGAGTCTCCCGCGTTGCATAAGACTTTGAGCAAAAAAGAGTCTGCAACGAGCTTGAAAGACAGGGATTTTCATTGAGAGAGCCAAATACATCTGACGCAAGGATATTTCTCCAGCGATTTCGGCCTTAATAACGAAGAAAAAGGAAATCCATTTGCACAAAATTTGAATACTTTAATTCATGAGTGATTGAAAATGGGTAAAGAATACGAGCAAATGAATCTGGAGACGACGTACTGCATCCTCGAATTTATCTCCAAGGGAGGAGAATCCACCACCCAGAGTGCTAAGCCATGACATGGCTTCCTGAAGAATTATGTGTCTGCACAAATGGTGAGCCACAACTCGGTAACCAGAGTGGTCGATTTCATAGACGCCAAAGGGTGGCGGAAGGATGATGGAGCACAAATCCTCAGAAGACGTCGCTAGTGAGTCAGTCAAACACAAGAATGTCCTAGTAGAGACAATTATCCAAAAAAACTGTGACTTGGAGACCCTTTTAGAACATCTATGACATTTCGCTGTGAAAAGTGAGGACCAATTAGTGGAACCAATCGATACGGCGGATTTTCCACATGACGGAAATGTTCCCACCAATTCCATACGAAAAATCATGTGAGATATGTGATGACAGGGATTCAAGAAAATCTGGTGGCTCTCGTGACGAGGTATACAGACCACCAAGACTGGACGTGTGTTGAACATGTAAAGTCGGAACTTAAAGGGACGTTCAATATCAACAACAAGAAATTATTGCGATCAAGTCAATATTCCCAGCAAATATGGTGAGATCGGGAATGAATATTCCTATTTTCTGTAGTGGCTGGGTCAGGAATCCTAAAATACACCAAGCAAAAATTATTTCATACAATCTGTCTCTCGTATGAACACTGCTAGGATGTTTCAAAAAATGGCAGCGCTTAAACAGAAAGTCTACGCATGCAATTCCTTTCGGCAATTCATTCACCTCCAAGATCATCGGTCGCTACAATTCGGTAAGCTTGCAGTGCTCATTCGCTACAAGAGTATGCAATCTTATTAAAACCCAGCTATGGCTAAGTAAAATATTAAAAACTATTATAAATGCCATGACCGCAGTAAGGAAGTAGTTAATGATAATAAACTTAGAACTATACCAATACTTCAACACCGATATGAACAACGTGTTCAAAATCACATATAGTTTTATTCCAGGTATTTCAAACAGCGTACAGCCAAAAACAACCAGGAAGTAAATAAGGCAACCGAGCAAACTAATGGTAATAATAATGCATTAAACTACGGATTAATTCTTAAGATGAAATTCCAGGGGTATTGCAACGAACAACTGGACCACATTTTCCTTAATTTTGTAGGTGATCACCTAAATATCAGCCAAATATACGACGTGTTCTAACAGCAGAAACACAATGGCAGAAACAACAAAAACCCACGCACAAAGCGAGCACACGCGGTTGGATTCAGCGCTGCGGCTCGGAGGCACTACCCTAGATGGCGAGAACGTGTTTTCAAGGTCATTTGCGAACAATGAAGGCCGTAGAATCAATTACAGATTTTCCTCTTCAAAAGCTATGTGATGAATTTTGCTTATACAATTTCTTTTTATTGTTCCTATGTACTGCTTATTTAGCGGAAAGTGACCTACCAATATTGATGACAATACTGAAAAATACACATACTTCCAAGGCAGATCGCACTTGTCGCCATGTTGCACAAGTTTCTTATAATCTGAAAAGCAGTTAATTAACGCTATATGTACTGCATGTTTTAAGGTTATTTAGACACCTAAGCAAACTTTAAAGCGGGGAATTCAGCACTCAACTCGGCTAAACTTGTCGGTATATGTTTATTCGCTTACAACGGTTGATCGAAACCGACAAAGTTAGCACCTATTTTAATACATTTACCACTTATTTTACTACATGTTTGAGCGCGCCTTTCCAGGTGACTGGAAATGTCTCTCTTGTAGAACCTTAATTGTCTGCGAAATATCACATTATGTCAGTGGTGCATGCTTTCTGACTACATTTAACGCGTTAAGCGTTGGTTAACACTCCATTAATCAAAGTTGGTGGTGGGAACGCTTTTTCTCTGTGCCAATGCCGTTTATTACGGTCGTCCTTGTAGTTTATTGGTTGTAAAACTGGCTATCTTAATACAGTGAGCAGGTGGATGGGACTGGCGTCTCGGTCGTGCTCGCTTAGGTCACGTGATGTCATGGGTGTTCCAGAAACGGCGACTCCAGTTGTTGCTACGGTCCCAACAGAACCGTCTGAGTGGCACTTTTTGTAAAATGACAACCGTTTCTCAGGTGTTATGCTCGTATTGCATCGTCTCCTCAGTGTTAGTAGTAACCGGGACTTCTACCACTTCACAAGACGTTACGTTTGCCCTGGGCAGATATTTGTGACATGATTTCGCGGCATCTTCTACTGGTGTCAAATCCCATGCAATTGTCCACGCTACCTAAACTGACCAGGTTTGATTCATTTCAACAAGGGGCTAACTGTTCGAATGTTTAGTGACGTTCTCTCGGGAAAGTGGTATTCGATCGATCTCGAAAGGCTCCGAAATAACCTTATGCAATCGGGCGGCCCTCGAAGCGATTGAAGGATTTTTTCGTTGAGTTTCTTGCATAATTTAACTCATGATCCATTTCTCTCACAAAGTCCACTGAATATGTATTTAAAAACTGTTGATTTCGCGTACGAATTCTAATCAGATTATCAAAATACAGCAAGTAAGTAGTGCACAGAATAGATTGCCCTTGTTTACTCCAGTATGTATGTAGAGGTGACAGGTTGTTGATAGAATTGTCCAAGCCCAAAGAGCAATCAGGTGTGAAAAAGTAGAAAAAGTACAGCCCAGTGGAGATTAGAGGCTTAAGCAAAAGAGAGAAAAGTTCTAGGAATACTGTGGAACCTCGACAGGATGAAAGAAGAGGGCTTCTCTAAACCTCTGAGGCGTCATAGGTATGCACAGCGAGGTCAACAGCTGCCTGGGCGATTAAGGACCGCGCTTCGTCTCGGTCTAGAGGGTAAGGGGAGAAGAAAGAAAAGGAGTCCATTCCTAAGGCATTTTACTTCTTTGTAAAGGCTTTTCCTGTAGTGTTGGCTTGTTTTATTAAAGTGTCACAAGATGTTTATATGGGTCAGGGTTATTACCATTTTGGCTACTCTGTACTTAGCGTTCTTAAGTTGCATGGATAAGGTTTAAGTTATGTCAGCTTGTCTAGTAGTGCGGAAACACCTAGCAAGATTTTAAGCTGGCTTACCCAGATGTGTGTTGTCACCCGATGGCATCGCAAATTCATCAGTGGTTACCGACAGATTGTTAAGTGAATGGCGATTGCATTCAGAATACCGATTTATGATAGTTGAATAGACCAACGACTGAAATGAGTTAGCCACATAGTGAACATTGACGAAGTTAATAATGGCGTCACATTCTCATCATTTAAACTGCTATTTTATGGCCCAGTGGTCCTTTTCAGACTGACAAAACGAATGACTAGCTCCTGATTTCACCATTTTTTCTAGCCAAAATATGTTTGATTCGGGAAATATGAGCATCACTGATTTATTTATTTCAGAAAACTTAATGATGGGGTCAGCATAATTAGGTGCCTATGCAGTCAGGGCGTGGAGCATAACCATTAATTACTATTTAATTGCGATACTTTGTAAGCACCGATTAAAGTTACACTACCATAAACAAACAAAGCAAATCCGCCCTCTTGGTTCTACTAGCAAGGTATGATGGCACACTACATAATTAGATGTAAAGATATAGTACCTGAAGTGAAAGACTAATATTATATCAGCAATTCAATTGTCTAAGGTGGATTGACAACTTATAAGAGGGAGAAATAAAAATGTTCCCAAGGATGAAGTAAAAGACCAGAAAAATAATGTAGTATTGATGTGTAGTGATGAAAAGACCAATGGGATCGTAGTGGGGAATTCTCGAGTGCCTTCGCTATCGCTGAAGGCCTACTTCAAAATCATATGCATATCCTAATTTGATGGCCGATCAAATTCCACTTAGTTATTACCATTGCTTCACCTTCTGCGTGGCTTTTTGATCAAATTCAATTGATGTCTAACCAATGGCACACTCACTTCCATTCATTACGTTCCCGGGAGGAGGAGTGATAATGCACAAGCGTTTCCACGCACTTATAAAGACATGATCTTCGTGATAATTCGAGCGTTCACTGCCACCCCTTCTGTTCAGGCGAGCAGCGAATCCACCCAGTGGATGTGACAGTTGATTGGACGACTGCAGATTTGCCCGTGGTCAACCTCCCCTCTTAACCCTTACATCAAAAACACCAGCAACCACGAGCACTACGTATCGCCAAAACCCAAACAGCAAGAGTTAGACTGCGTTGATGTTTGGAAAGGTGGTGTGGGATAACTGAGGGAAGTGGTTAGGCTCTAGATAAAAACACGAAAGACAGTAGACGCGACTGCTGCATAAACTATACATGTGTGTCATTGTAAAGGCTTAGGTCCTCAAATAGGTGACGTATATTTTGCTGATTGTTAGGCGAGATGACAATTCGAAAAAAGCGCAAGTAAAGGTTGAATCATGGTCATGTGGAGTCATGCCAAGAGATATTTGAATTGAGTGACAATAAAAGCAATCAGTACCCGTCAATACGCCCCTACAGCTTAGGGCACTCACAAGAAATCGGCTCAACTGAAATAGGCACTGATCAGTCTTCAAACGCAACAATGCACATAAACACTGGAGAGGCGCCCTGCATTGTGCTAACGTGGTGTAAAGAGATTGCACAACCTGAGAAGGGTTAAGGCATCTTCATGAAAATGTACGCATGAAAGCTAAATGTGAGGTGACAGTTTTGAGTAAAGGAAAGGAGAAGAGTTTTGACCCCCTCTTCACCGATACGTAGTTACAATCTCTTTATCTACGTTCGTTAGTTTATGCAGGTTAGAGACCCACCAAGAATACATCCATAATTGCTAAATCAGTAATGGAGTGAGCTCATTCACCTAATAATGAATAAACGAAGAAAGTGGTCATGTCTTTTTTGAAAAAACTTCCATGAATCAGTAATTCTGGTAGATGTCAGTTGTTCCCTTGGCATCACTGATTAGGAACAAATGTTTCGAAAATAATTAGTAAAATTACAAAGCGGGATGATTAATTTCAGGAGACAGGTGGCCAGTACCAATTGGCCTCTTTAACAATATAAGAAGGCGAGATCGGCAGGGGTTACAGTGATTGAACATGTCTGTCTGTGTAAAGAAGGATATATTTGAATTCTGCAGAAATATGAAACATCGGTTTGATTCGTCTCCAATATCATCCAAAACTACATTTCATCACAATAAAAATCTCCTATTTAATTAGACAGTTCAAAAAATTTTCGAAAACTGTTGTAACCACATAGTAATGAGGAAACAAAGTGTAAGCGTTCGGCTTTGCACAAGCTCTTTTCATCTCTAGCACCGACACCATGTCAGTCATTATCTACGTTGGATCAAATGATAAACATAGGCAAGTTTTTGATGTTTTGGTGATTGTAGTCTGCATATCGAGAGATTCGCAAATTAAACAATGGAAGATTGGGGCTTACTCCGGACACCATTCATCTGCGAAGTCCCCGTTGAGGTCCAATACCTTGCCATCGAGGCAGAGGACGCGGGTCGGCGCAATTCACGCTGTTCTGCAGCAGTGTCGGTGATAACAGAAGAGGGCTGCTCCTCCAGTCTCGGTACGTGGACCAGCGAGAGCGTCTCATAGCCATCGCGTTTGCTCGCGTGCCGTTTGATGGCGCGCTCTACTATCGGTGCACCGCCGTGCATCCTCCTACCGGTAGGACCGTAGAGCGCCGATGCGGAGGGCCCTAGTGCTCGCAGGCGCTCAAGGCTACGGCTACGCCGTGTGCCACCACCCCCGCCATTCCCGATGCTGATGAGGCTGCGTGCCGCCAAGTTGTTGCGGGAGCGACGCCGTGCAATTTCCGCCTGCGCCTGCAACTGTATGCTGGAAAGACGCAGGGGCGATTGCTCCGCGGCGTAGATCTGCGTCTTCGTTGGGACTGGATGGTCCCCAAACCAAATGGAGCTGGAGGAGAGAGTTGAACTGCGTGGGAGAAAACCAGTCACCCCACTCATTGTGCGACGACGCGTGCGGATCAAAAGAGTGTCTGGTAGTTCTAGTTACCAAAAATGTGCCCAAGCGTGAGGGTTGATCCTTCCATTCACCATTGCAAAACCTTAAATAAACGTTTGATGGGCATACCTTCCTCAGGAATGTTTTGATCCATCGTCCTTAATGGCCTTGTATCTCCGTACGACTTGGCCCGCTCGTAGATATCGCCTCCTATGCCATCATGGTCACCGGCGACATTCACGTAGAGGGGGTACTGTAGTGGTCGTAGGCGCCTGGTGCGCGTTGCAGGGTCCTCAGCTAAGGTCAAAAGAGGTTTTCAATCCTTCAAAACAGTTACCAAGTTCTATTTTCATACCACTACCATGCATGGTTGTCAAAATTAAATGAACATTAATGTGTGGTTTAAGCCTATTTCGTTTTAAGAGAACATTAACATGAAAATAGCAGGAAATTGAGAATGAATAGATGCTTTAGGACCGTATACTGAATAAAATGTAAGAATTTTACTGGGTAACCCGGCGAGAGCAGCCTCGAAGTTTATGGGGAGGGCTGGTGGACGAAGGCGACTCTCCTCGTCCACCCAACTGTCGTCATCGTCGTCGTCATCTTCCCTCTCCTCTACTTCCTCTTCCAAAGCATGCATTGCGGGAACTACACGAGGAGGCTCCCCATTCGCCCATTTGGCTTTCCACCGTGAATGGCGTGGTGCTGGCAGCGGTTCCACATCGTAGGCGTTGCGGCTGTTCGTTTCTGAGATGGAAGCAATAAGATATACACATTGAAGTGGGGAGGAATTTTACTGCATATTTTTAAGGCGAAATCCAGGCGGTTTCTCATCATTCCAGGCAAAACATAACACAGATCTCACACTTCTCTTAGCATCCGAATTTATCGCTGTTTTATTTAAGGGCGTAATTTGAGGGGTCGCGCCCATTTACAGACTCCCTCTTAGGTTTTTACTAGCACAAGTAATCGGACTTTGATCGGCATAAGTAGACACCTTGTGGCAAAAAAGACTGAGGGCGTTTATATGAAGTGACAAACAAGGATAAAGGCCTCGTTAAATGGCAGTGGTCCCAATTACTCTCAAGGCAAATAGGCTGGATTTTTAAATCCGCCCACACAATTGAGTTGCGCCAACAGGGCCACAGACTACCAATGGAGCGCCCGACGTTCGCGCAATGACTAAGACGGGTGAGTCACCATACGCCGGCGGCGTACCAGGCCGGCAAATGAAAACCACATTTTCATGTCAACTTAATGACTACGACGTAGGACCCGCAAATTATCTGTTTTAGGCTTTTATGCTTACACGATAATTCATGTCATCCGTTATAAGGCTTTAAAATAAGGAATAGAAGTCAGGAGGCATTACAAGGCTTAAGTAAATTTATTTAATGAAAAGGAAGTTTAACATGAACTTGTTCACTTTTTTTGGTTTTGCAAAGCTAAGTAGGGCTGCGTCTTCGGTGCTCCCTGTCACATAACAGCCTACGCCTCTCAGGATTCGAGCTCGACTATACGTAATTCAAAATTACAATGTTAAGAGTTCAGCTTAGAATATGGTGATAATTGGCAGCGATCTACCTTTTCCTTCACGGTGTTCAGCGCTCAGCTCGAACCCATCAAACAATGGTTCCGTCCCACTTCCATCCTCTAGCCACCCACGACGTCGGTGCCTTCCAGAGCTCGAGGTAGGTCCACTTTCGCTCCCTCTGTAGGTTGAGGAAACCAAATCCTCCTCTGAACGCGGATCGAAAGGACTGCGGAAAGGATTGCCATGCGAGAGGGCATCTTCAGGCTGGATTACCAGCTCCTCTACATTCTGATTTAGTTTAACACTTTTTCCTACAAACAAGGTAAAAAAATGTAGACACTCATTTGCACTCATTTTCACAGTAGGTTGCGCCCTAGAATATTTCGTACTCTGCAAAAAGGCAGGCAGAGTCCTTCACGAGTGATAAGTTGCGACTTTTAATTGCCAATGTATTTGATCTCCTGATTGCACAACTGGTATGCGAATGTGCCGCACCCAGTTCTGTCAGTCGGGCCAGATGGAATTGGGTAAAAAGTGGTGCCACCGCTCTTATTTCTCACCGTAATTCCTCTTAAAGTCCTATATTACTGGCTACGGCACGCTTGTAACGATGGAGGATAGCTTGCATTCCTCAACACCTTCGTAAAATATGGTACAGTTAGCTGATTACTAGAAGAGAAATGCTGAAATACCCGGATACGGCAAAATTGAAATGAGGAAAAAAAACTGCAAGTACAGTTAACTGGCACAGTACTCGCAGATAAATTAGGTGTATTGGAAATCAATAAAACCGATGAAAACACGGTGCGCACGGGTGGCTGAGAGCACCATTTACGAGTCTCGGCCTCGGAAAAGTCAACACCACCTCATGTGGACTGAAACACGTGTTCATGAGGCATGAACACCAGCAACTGCTCGAGAAAACTTGAACAGGGCCGGATGATGACACATGACAGCAATGAAAACCTACTGATGAAGACGAATGAAAAGCAGAGTATCTGGTATGGCCTCTGTTACTCTCTCCGGGGTTCTGTGGAAAAGTAGAGAAAAAATGTTTCATTAAAAACCGGTGCCACAATGCGCTGGTAGTGAAGGCTCTGACAGTGGTGTGGGTGGTGCAGGCGAAGAAAGAGATGCCTTTGAGGAGCCTCTCAAGTGTTCCCTTTGATCTCTGATGAAGTATATAAAGAAGTACGGCAGGTCACTAGTCAGGCAACGATTGACTTGACAGATCATGAGAACCGGTGACCAGGCGCCCGAGTTCTCTGGCATAGCCATAGTCAGAAAAGAGATGAAGAACATTCACATCAACGACTACAAGGGGAAGTACTGCATTCTCTTTTTCTACCCTCAAGACTTGTGAGTTGAATTCCGCTGTTTCATTGACTTCCCGCATAGTTTTATGAGTAGTTCGTCAGCAAATAACTATATCAGACGGCGACTGTTTGTATACCAAATAAGATAATTCATGAGGAAAATAGTGCTAAGTGGATGAGAAGACAGGGAGTCGGAGGTGATTTCGGTAAAATAAGACGAAAATCTGTGTCGATAAGAAGAGCGAATAAAAAAGGTAAAAGCGACACAGGGTCATGTCTACAAGTGGAGGACAAGCACGATATGAGAGGCATCAGTGGATAATAGCAAGGAAACGTTCTAGTTTGTTGCAGACTTCCATCTGCCCAACATGCAGGCTGTTTATCTTGGACTACGAAACTACAAGTTATGTGGCTAGATTTGTTTGCGTAGACCATTCAGGAAACTATAAAGAAGAACAATTCCTTTCCAATACATAATTTGAGACTTTTTCAATCGAATACCACACTTCCTATCTATCCAGAAACAAAGAACACTTTATTTTTTAGTAATTACGTTTCTCTTTGAAAACACCTCACGCTACAGGCATCACCGTCGTAGGGATGGTGATGCGCATGCTTTGGTGAAACAAGACAATCAACCTCCGACTATTAATTCACATACCCATCACACCATCCTATCATAAGCATCAGGAAGAGTTTATTCCATTAGACATCATTTCCGTTATCTTCTCCCTCCTCTTCACCTGCAGCACTTTCGTATGCCCAACTGAAATTCTCGCATTCAACGATCGCCTGGAGGACTTTAGGAAGATCGGCTGCGAGGTGATTGCCTGCTCTACGGACTCGCAATTCTCGCACCTCGCATGGTGCAACATGGAGCGGGCGAAGGGAGGTCTGGGCAAACTCGACCTGCCCCTCCTCGCCGACAGGAACATGGAGATCTCGCATAGTTATGGCGTCCTCGATAGAAAGGCGGGAACTGCCTTTAGGCAAGTCCTCGCCTTTCACTTTGCCACAGCATAATTAGGTTTGCATTTATTGGTTCCACACCAAGAGTTGTTAGCATAGTGCACTGACATTGGACCCACTGCCAGCCTAGTAAGAATATCCGTGGGTCATCTCTGGGCAGGTACTTTACGAGGGCAGGGGATGCAACTGATTATGCCATTCTAGTAAAGATGATCATATTTGAGTGTTGAAGCACTAACATTAGATTGTTAAATAGGCCACTTGAACCCCAACTTTCCCGAAAATGATGTCTAGTGAACTCAATTCATTGTTTGTTTGGTAACATGTCACCATAGTAATCATGTGCATTAAAAAACTGAAATACGTATTCATAACACAGTTAATTCGAAGAAATTAACAAGAATGTGTGAGAATAGCAGTAAAAAGGTAAATCTTCATCTTACATTTTTTAACATTACAGAGTCCCTAAAGTTGGGTGATAGATGTTGAATTACAGAAACTAAGACAAACCCAAGAAAGAAACCAGTGAACCATCAGGTTATTAGAGTTGAATTTAAATGATTAAGTAACGATGGTAAATTGGCTGCTATGGGGATTTTACAAAATCTCACTTATCAATGCACCAGAGGGCTCTTCATCATAAGTCCTGATGGGAAGATACGCAGTATTCAGATCAACGACAATCAAGTTGGCAGATCTGTAGACGAGGCTCTGCGCCTGGTAAAGGCCTTCCAGTTCACCGACCGGCACGGAGAGGTATGCCCCGTTAACTGGCACCCTGGCGAGAAGGGCATCAAGCTGCCCCAGTGAGCTCATCCATCCTTCCATCATTCCCACTGCGCAACTTAGGATTATACCAATAAATAAATTATCTGCTCCATCTTAACCCCTCCTTACTCAAAGTTCGCGACTTTCAAGGACGGGGGGGGGGGGGGAAGGAAGAATGTGGTAGAGACAGTTTGGGACAAGTTCACGACAATTGGGAAAAGTATGGTCAATGATGCAACTTTCCGAGTTCCAAGATCAGCTAGTTTAATGTGAAAGTAACCCTCATTACTATGTTAACGAATCAGATTCACCTAAGTACAGCTTTGAAAACGGCCAAGAATGTTAAATGGTGGCATAGACCGTCCCACTACCAAAATTACTGCTTGAACATATTTACTAAGCACATTCACCATCGTGACATATCGTCTGTCAGAACTGGTTGTGATCTAAAATTTTGTAAACAGTTGACAATAGTTTAATTTATCCATGTAATGAACCAGACATTCGCCGATTGTTGTCGCCTTAGAGTTAAACAGTGCGAAGACAAAATAAAAATAAGACCTACAGAAGGGAATTACCGCACTTCCACACAGCTGTGGCTTGCTTTCTGCCAACAATTCTTTTCAACAAAATTGTATTTTCTAACGGAGCCATTAATAAGGGTGCATTGTGGTGGTGGCAAAAAACGAGTCGTATTTAATGAAGCGGATGTGGGTCTCGAGTGATTATTCGGCACTTTGAAAGATGGTAAGTGGTTGACCTGCAGAATGGATGTCATGGCGATGCGGAATTGCAAGCATGGTTCCAAGATACCATTGCATCTGATATGCCCATTCACCTTAATCGGGTTGGTTGGGGGAATGTTTGCAATTGATTCAACAAACAAGGACTACAATTAGCGCGTGAAGGAGATTTTGAAGCAACTTCGTATTCAATTAGAATCATTATTTTGAACTGATAGAACATTTTTCCCTAATTTGGATGGTCAGAAGAGAAAAATGTAAGCTAACCATGGCGGGGAGCCGCTTTTAGACTGGCTCGATTGCTGCAGTCAATGGGAGATAGAGGGTTGTCGGAGAGGTAAGAAGTCGACGGGCTGCCTCCCCGTTGTATCGACCGCTTTTCCGGCCTTGGTGGGAATCGCGGGGTTGAATCTACGGCAATTCAACACAATGTTTCTATTCGGTCTTACGTAGGCGGTCAGCCAAAGAGGTGATAAAAAGTGTGCTATAAAAGAAGGATAAGCCTGCACAAAGTGGACTGAGTGAATAATGCCACTGTGGTCACCACCGCAAAGTACAACGCTTCCGTCTGCGAGTCATCTTTGATTCATACCTCACGCATATTTCTGGAGTTTGTTTGGCGGTTATTTTGCACGTGGTGTGTCCACCTCCAAGACCTAAAGAAGTGAGACGAAAATACGAGGCCTGTTTCACGGCAGTAGTTGACCACCTATACTAGAAGCAAGCTCGCCCAATTTAACTACCTTCAAGTGAACTACGGCCTCACAAAGCACAACATATACACACCCTCTATTTGCACCATAGACACCGCCCCACTCACATTTGCTGGCCGAACTAACCCTAGGATGATTAGGGAATTGTGACTCTTCTGAAGGCGAAACATTCCGCGTAACTTTTACCACACAAAGACATTGCTGATCAATTAATACGTAGATGGCTATCAAGCCGATGACTAGTACGCACTAACCCAAATCTAGAACTAAAAAACGCCGGATTCCAATCTCCTTTTTCAAGAAAGCAGACATGTCAAAAATGTTCCACAGACGCCTCTGCCTATCTTAGTATAAACACATCGACCGGAAATTGACGCAATCAAGGTGTACGTTCACCCGCCGCTGGGACGCCAATACACATTTGACGAGTTTGCATTACGAGATGCACGCGGAAAATCACCACGACAGTCAAAAAAAGATCAGGAACACATAACCAGGGCTTGGTAGAGAATTCAGAATCCGCGGCAAAACCAATCGCTTATCTCCGCCAAGGTCGTACGTCATACACCCACACGCAGGAGCACACAAACCAATGCGTTTAAGGCGAAGATTAGTGGGCCAATCAGAACGCAGAAGACGCTCTGGTATATTTGGCGGTAAAAGGGGCCATGGCTGTTGAATTTCATTGTTTCTGCTTGCGAGATGGCTGCTGTTGTTGGGAAGCTCGCGCCAAGTTTCACGTGCAAGGCTCTTGTCGACGGTGAACTCAAGGATGTTTCTTTGTCGGACTACCGAGGGAAATATGTGATTCTCTTCTTCTATCCGATGGATTTGTAAGTCTTGCTCTTCTAAATTTTAAGCGAAATCTGCATTCGTGCTTAGAGTAGCGTTGCTCTTCCTAGCACCTTCGTCTGTCCCACTGAGATAATCGCTTTTAACGACCGTGCTGATGAGTTTCATCAGCGTGGGTGCCAGCTCCTTGCCTGTTCAACGGATTCCGGCTACTGTCACTTGGCGTGGAACAACGTGAGCCGAAAGGAGGGTGGTGTTCAAGGTATGAGGATTCCGATGCTTGCCGATACCAACCACAAAATCTCACGCGACTACGGCGTACTGATCGAGGATCAAGGCATTGCCCTCCGCGGCCTTTTTATCATCGATGACAAGGGAGTTCTGCGTCAAATCACCATCAATGATTTGCCCGTCGGCCGCTCTGTGGATGAGGCTCTGCGCCTCTTGGACGCCTTTCAGTTCACGGACAAGCATGGTGAGGTTTGCCCAGCAAATTGGCAACCTGGATCAAAAACCTTCAAACCGAGTGCGGGTGATTTGAAGTCGTTCATGAGCTCGTGATAGACATGTGCCACTTTTTCGAAACGTTGAGATGTCCATTTGGTTGGTGTTATACACATTTTCGCCAATGCTCTGTGTTCTTGATCAGTGTTCGGTTGGGGCTTTATTTGTCTAGCCACTCGACCATGGGTCTCGCTGTCATCGTACTGTTGGGGGGAGGGCTCCCCAGCGTGAATATGTCTGACGGGCTTCGTGCTTCAGACACTACGCTAACTGGGCTATCGATTTCATGGGGGGCGCGGCTTACGTTGAGTGGTTGGAAGTCTGCACTTCGCAGAAGGGGCCTGCGAGTGCTTATTCTTGGTGCTACGGGGCTGAGATCCGAGTCCCGTATAAGCGTTGCTTCTGCAGCGCTTAGCAAGGTGATTCTGGCGAAGCGGTACTTGGGTTGCGTTGGGAAGTGCTTGTTAGGCACTGGCCCAGCGGCATTCAGTATCGGGATGCCGGTTTCGTGAGCTGGCAGGCGTGGGGTATCGCGACGGCCTCTAGTTCTGGTGTGCAAGCTAATCTGGATGAGGGGATTGACCAGTCGAGGGACGCGTTTTGACCATCGACTTGTGGGGGGGGGGTCATCGGGGGGTTGCTGCCCCCACGGCCGGTTCTCTTGCCCCTTTATTGTGCAGGCTGAGGGCGGTTCCGTCGGCTACTTAGTTGATTTAGGATTAGTGGGCGGCTAACCGGTTTCTGCCGGCAATGCCTGGTCTTGGTTTCTCAGACACCTCGCTGAATTTAGAGCAGCTGGCGTCCAGGTTTTAGTACCGAACGGGGTCCGGTTGAGCAGCAGGTGTTACTGGCGCTATGAGGCCTGCCGCGTCCCTTTACGTGAATGTGGGCTGGGAACCAAATGTGTTGGTTCGTGGGATGAAGACCCAATTGGCGAAAAGGGCAAAGCGGTGAAAGAGGTTTGCGTATGTTTGCAGAGGTGGCGCAATGTTATCACAGCAACATGTACAACGGAGAAGTAGTTTTATGAAGCGACTGAGATAAAAAGTTTATTTCAGGCACACTACTTTATGGTCTCACTAAAGTCTGGTTCCGGTTGGTTGAGCTTGTGGAGTGTTGCTCTACTGATTGCGTGGATCTGTAAGGCTTTGAAAAAGTTTTACCCGCGAGTTCATCAGCCCACAATAACTAGGCAAGCAAAGAGCGACAAATTAGGCGTGGCCTTCAAGCAACTTCAAAATAAGCCGATTAAATAGAATTATGCAATTAAGGACATAGGTCCTGTGTTTTTACCACCTTGAATGCAGTATTTTTGCAAATCGCACTGTGGCGACCTTGGCTGCAGTAACCAATGCTGGCTGTGCTGTTCCCAAAGGAGGTGAGAAGGCACGTGGGACCAAACACGGCGCAGATTACTGAGGTGACAATAAAAACACAATTGGGCTGTGATGATCTGGGGAACCGGCTGGACCCCTTACACGGCGTTGTCTGGTTGATTTGTGACAAGAAAACTGCGAACCCTCCACGGTGTATTCAAAAACGTTAAAAATATTAACACAACGGCAGCATTAGTCTTTCCTTTCTTTAAAGGGTTGCCTTTCGATCGTTTCTGGAAACAAGGGGTCTTACTTGATTAACTTACTGTCATAACAGGGGCTCAAGTTAAACTACAGAGGCTAATTCGGACGACCGAATGCCTAGAAGACTGCTCATGAAAATCTCTTCCACCTTTGAGTAGCCCAGATTAGGCGATAAAGACATAGGACAATTATTTAAGTATAACATTTAAGGAAAGTGTGGATCCACGGGAATTTATGGTACCAGAAATTGAGCGGCTACACGAGCGAGGACTTACTATCTGGTTGGTAAGTTGCACGGACCATGTGACCTAGAAGTGTTCTGGGATTTTCAGGGTATATCAGAAACTAAGCCCGATACGATACTGTCGCTTGAAGACATCGTCTGACCCATTTTGCTGATTAACAAATTTCACTTTCTAAGCTCAATTTTTTGTTATGGAACGAAACAGCTGAAATAAAATAGGTATACAACTCACAAATGATCCCAGTTTCCATTTAACAACTTTTTGCAGTCGTGAACCAAAAATTGAGGCGCAGGGGTGACCATGAAGATTCCACCATTTTCAAGGAGGCTAGTTCAACCCATTATTTGCCAAGAATATGGCACAGAAATATCAGCTAGATTTACTGAAGTGTAATAGCGGGCAAGAACAGGGCCCAAATGAAGAAAGGCCTAGAAACTATTTCCAGTCACGGTTACCATGATGTAGTCAAGTCATGGACCGTACACTTTTTCGGCCTACGTGATGGTGTGATACTTGGCAGACAAAAACTAGTGCCGGTAATAGTGACTAGTCGCCCAGTAATACTTTCAATTGTGCCCAATAAAACGAGACGGCTAAGAGTACGCCTTAGCCGCCTGCAAGTTAAAACAAAGCGAATTCAAGAAAGCGCCTATACCGACCTACATGCACCGAGCCCGCATATCGATTAAAGTTGCACATGCGCCGATGTGCGCACGCGCACGCAGTGATGCGATTGGCTGATGCAGGATGCGACATGCAGAAAACATGTTTGTGAGTGGTGCGCGCGTCAGGTCAACCAGAGCACCTTACCGCGAGCTGGCTGTGGCAATACTTCTAGCGCACACGCAGTCCGTGTTCCTTGAATGGTGTAGCCTTGACGGGTTGGGTACACTCCTACTATTTACCTTAGGGGGATGTAAATTTCTCCTGGCCCCTTCGATGCTCAACGCTAACCGAAGCATATTTCGCTGAATCGTGTAACTAGAAGCTACCACAAACAAGCATAAATTTATCGAGTCATGTGATTGTTAGATGCAGTAAACTGATTGCGCTAATAGCCGTCATCTGGGTGGTGGTAATAATACACATTTATTTTAGAATGGCTAAAAAATAAGGGCTCTTTATGCTTGTCGTAGAATTATTATACTATCGTTTAGCTCTTGCTTAGAAGATGCTGATCAACGAGGAATCTATATACATGCATTAACTCCTTCGGTAAAATACCAAAAATGAGAACTCGCACTCCAGCAGTGTCGATGGCCCAAGGATACCCGCTTCCTACCTTCAAGGGAGTTCGTGGGATGGCCAGTTAGCGCCCCAAGGTCACTGGTACCCGAGTGGTTACATAATCCTCGCCAAATATCGATTGTAGAGGGATTTGAACCCGAGTTCACAGTTTATAATAACCAGTTCAAAAAAGGGCAGTAAATTGTGGCGAACCTGACGGGAATTTAGTTGGGACGCGAGTTGTCTGCTGGACGAGTACTCAAGAGAAAAGTTTAGAAGCGAAGGGGACTCACCGACGGATTGCCTGCTCCCACCGGCATAGTAGTCCTGCTCGGAATCCTGTGTTAGAGTGCCTGTTGCTGTCTGAGATTCTTCTGTCTGCGAGGCTGAAAAGGCAAGCGGCTCAAAAAATTCCGTCTCCCTATTTCTGGGTGGCATTAGCCAGCTCCTTTTGAATAAGAAGCCGTAGGCTTATCACCAGTGCCCCACTATCAGTTGAAAGGTTCAACTTCTTTGTCACGCGTGAACTGTACTGCACTGCGGAGGCGCTGTGAACTTCTCAATGAATAAAATAAGTCAGGAATAACATGATTAAGTCTTCAATCGTACTTCGAGAGGATGTAGTTCCCAGAAAGAAGAAAACTGACAAAAGTAAAACCTTACACTACACCTTACCTCTACTGCGAAACACATTATGGATTTTGTAACCTTCATGTCAAGTGCTCAAAGTATACTGGCTTTTCACTGCCAATATTGCAAAGGTAATTACTTAGTAATGGTATTCAACGAGAAATTGACAGAGATATGCACTTGAACACAGCAAGAATACCTACCTAATGCAACAGGTTGGTGCTTTTTAGCCTCTTTTCAACACGTTAAGGAGACCCCGGCCACTTTTAATCTTGCACGTTAAATGAGTAGCCAGCACAAAATACTAATTCAATGTGATATTGCATATATACATGTTTATTTCAAATTTTGAGGATTGCAACTCTCAGATTTAATGTTAAAATGAGCGAATGATGCAAGTACTGACGGCACCATTTGCCTTATTGTTGACTTCAAGCGACGCAAGTTAAAAAATTATTGCAGCTGAGACATGATTACAATGTCTCTGTGGAAACTAGGGTAACAGCAACAGGAGATATACATATTTCCAGAATTTGCAAGGGATACACCAGCTAAATGACCGTGTGTTACGGCGTACCTTCTATAGGTTCACATTAAAGCATTTCGGCTCAACAATATTCTCACATTCCTTTACTATACCTCAAAAGTTTGATTTTCATATTGTTAAAGTTCACTAACTTCAAGTCGTCCAAATCACTACTTGATTTGAACCCCATTTGCAAGCAACCATAAGAGGTGTTTATTGGGCCAGCTATTTCATGGTTGCTAAGCCCAATCACAATAACTAACATTTGCTTGATAAACTGAATGCGCGACGCATCTCCTCATATGTTATCGTTACAACTTACAATTAATCACGATAGCAATAGCAATAAAATTAGTCAGGATAATGCCAATTAGAAAATGTTTTGTAAAAATATTGCTACTGAAATTACAAAAGTAAACATAATAAACACTGACAACATGCAATGTGCAAACACAAGGTGCACCTACACGTACCATCCTCAAACTCCTCCTCCTGCTGAAACGCCCTCTTACGTTTTCTTGGCAGTGGCGTAATGGGGTTTAGCTCAATACTTCCATTATCTTGCAAGGCCTCCACTTCATCTCCCTCAGATTCAGCATCAATGGCTGCCGACTGTATCTCCTCAGGAATTAAGGAATTAGATTTCGCATCTGTCTCAAGAATTACTGTTCTGTTCATCTGAAGACTTGTATGGAGTATCGTGCTCTTAATGGGGGTCTGACTGTGATGGTTAGAAACACATTCCTGGCCACCCACACCTCCGAATTGCGCCACACCACTGGTGGAGCTGATGAAGGGGATTGAGGAAGCAGAGGCAGTTTCATCAGAGCTATGCACCCTTGAGGCCGTTGCAGGGTGGACACTGGGCGAAACAAATGCCATTATTTCTTTCTCATTTTTCGCCCTTAAAGCCCCCTTATCACATTCTTCCTCTTCCTCGAAATCGGTGTGTAGGGAGAGGGTGTTGTCCACCTGCGGTGTAGACCACTCTCCTGCTCTTGCCTCCGCCTCCACCGTCCCCGGAGGAGGTGCCGAGGACGACTTGCGGTGCAGTGACTCGAGCCATGGCATAACGATGGAGGTGGGAGTTTGTGCGCTCAACGAGGTCTCGCTCTTGGTGCATTTCAGATGGATTATGCTCTCAGAGCGCTCAGTGGAGGGAAGGTAGTCAGAGGTTTGATGGGTGAAGGATGACTGAGATTCTGGGATTGGGAAGCTGGGTTCTGTGTGAAAAGACGAATGTGCACATGCGGCAAAGCTAGGCGACATGCAACGTGAGAATGGGGTGATATGCATTCAAAGAGTTAATTCACTTCAGCTCTGGACTTTTCAATTTGCGAGGAAACGATTAAGGCGACCTTCTACGCGAGTATCATACCCACTGTTAGAGGCATTCTAGAGGTAGTATTTAATAAACTTATTAAAAACCATGATATATTAGACAAAATTAGCGCCAGAGGAATTGAGTTTAAATAAACAATTGCGATTCAAGAAGAGTTTAATCATGCTTCTGTTTGATTAAAGTGAAAAAATATCAATAAAGTGTAGGTATTGAAAAGGCACACACGTGAAACATTGAGAAGGTGGTTACAACAAACATAGAACACTGCATGCAGAAGATTCGGCGTGGTGCACACTCCTTTCAATGCCTCATATTTAACATGCAGAAATCACCCTATGCTAGGGCTTTCAGTTGCATAAACAAAAGCAGTTGGTGCAAAACATCCTAGTTAGCATAAATTTGCCGATTTCGTCTTCAAACCCACGAAAACAATATGAAGCAAAGGAACATTAACCCATAGTATCAAAATAGTCCCCTATCTCTAGCACCAGGCGGCCCTCCATTTGGAAAAGCATTCAAATGACAAACACTTTTCCGTATGATTTCTACCCGAGAGGGGTATTGACTGGCACTAAAAATTCAGGTATTGTACTCAAAAAAAAAATAGCACTTCAGACTGCAAATAAATATAAATATTTTAAAGCCGGAAATTTCGTCTGCAAGGAATGGTAAACCGAAAAACGGCAGGACTAAATATACGTGCGGAGCAACCAAATATTCGAAATTCCTGCAAGGAAGGTCCATACTTTTAGTGTTTGGAGATCTCCTGAAAGGTACGCAAGGTAGCTATTGCACTATGCCCATTGGAAACGCATTTCCAAGTGCTACTTAAAGTTTATCCCCATGGTCCCACCGCAAGTGTCAATAAAACCTGCCTATCTATCGTATTTAAAATAGTACTAGTAAACAAAGGTACATACATCCAAATTTTCAGGTGAAGGGCTGGGCAAACGTTTTTATGAAAATACGTACTTGATTGTCAAAAAATGAGCAAATCACAAGTGACATGCGTTGAGAAATTACTACAATTTTTCAAATTTTAATAGTGCTAAATGGAGCCAATCCGAGGTTAAAAACCAGACTAGTCTTTGAGCATGGTTTAAATTCAATTTTAACACAAATTTCCGAGTAAGACCTTAGTGTGGGTAACACTAAGGCTCGATGTAAGTGCTAACCCTTTTACCGTCTTTTCACACAGCCAAGGAAGAGCTAGTGCAACCCTTGAGATATAGTTTCCACCACTTTGATTGCACGACCAACAACCACTTCTATTAAAGACAGGTCAATCCTTTGAAGTTAAATACATTTCTACGAGTATTTTTTTACAAATTTTAGAATGCAAAGGAGTAGATAATATGGCTTGATTGGCTCCGGTCCCGACACAAATGGCACAAGTTTAAACTGAGCTGCACATTTTGGAAACAGTATTGGAACAATAAAGCTTTTATTGTATATTGCCATTATTCCTGACAGACAGCTAGGTATTTGGCGCCCTTTGATCACAAACAAACGGATATTTGTCCAGCATTTTCAGATTGTTGGATAGTATACGTGAACTATGATTGTTCTTAAACTAATGAAGTCTAGGTAAATGTTATCATTGAAGTCAATCTGTTCCGATTCTAATAACATGTCTAAGGGGAGTATTTGCCTCATAAAAGATAACTGGAAGTATTAAAATCGCCAGTGCTTGAACTTTGGGAGGAAATAAATTCGTCCACTGGGATTTGTAAGTGAGAGATTCCTTTGCGTTCAATTAGTAAAAGCCAACGGGGGTTGGAGCAATATCCTAGTCCTGTATACACTTGAGGTGCTTGATGCTCACCATCAACGCCACTGGGCGTTGACGACTTACCTTATGCATTGGCATTTAAAGGGAACATAGTGGGCAAATTCACGTGCAAGAGATGCAGAAAAACCATTATGAAAATTTCACTCACTAACACAAGCATAAAAATTCTCATAGTTTTGCGATGTTTCCCAAGACATCGACCAACTTCGCCTCTTGCATGCCAAGATTGTGAAAATAAGGACGCCAATATGTGATGTTTAAAAGGCAAATATGGCTGAAATGCCTTGGAAGAAACTGCGGCAGTTCCGAATAGCATCGCATGTACCGTTTCATGATCACACAACTGGGTTATCAGGAAAAACTTTATTAATAATGAAGGTATACCATGTGACATAGGTTGAAGCAATTAATTTGACATCTTAGATATTAAAAATTAAATCAATATGAAAATTTGTAACGCAAGCACAAGATATGAGCGTTGGGTTAGAAAGTGACAGCCAGAAAGTTGAGGACAAACGCAATCAGAGAACAAAGCTGAAGTAGTGGATTTCCGTGCAAGACTAGTAAGCTATTTGAACACAAAAACCTAATGGGGTACTGCGACCTGGGTGTTTTTTTTATTTGAAGGTTATCCTAATATCATTAATAAAACCGAATTTTTAATAATAAGGGAGAGACACAAACGAGTCAACTTGAGTGAAATACAAGTACGTCTTGAGCAAATAGTGACAACATAAAGGATTAAGATAGCTCTAAGGGAAGGACACATTTGTATTGCAAAAAGGAAGTTGCGCCAACTTTACCTTTATCACTGAGTGAAATGCGACCAGGTGGAGAGACAACAGAGGAACGACTTTCTTGGTGTCGGGAGAGCAGCCGGCAGGTGTCTTTCTCCACCCGCTCTGTACTGGGCTCTACGTCTGAGGCCGCGCCCATCATCAAGACGGTGAAGCTCCCAGATCTTATGAGACCTTCTTTTGCACCACCCATTGCCCGACTTTCAAAATCCTCATCGAGAGATGTATTTGCATCGACGGATGGGGTGCGTAAAAATATGTACTCCTCTTCCTTCTGCAGTGGTGTGATTCTTCTATGGAAGTAGGGGGCACCAGATTCACTGTTAGTGAAATAATTGCGACTCCCGATACGACCGATGAGTTCAGAGTCCCTAGGTCGATCCGTTGTGAGCATCAAACACGCCCAATCACGGTTATCTTCAAGGCTGTCAGGAATAAGGCTAGGTGCGGACTGCGAAGTACGCTGACCAGAATTGATAAGTCCATTTGATGGCCCCTGAAGAGAAAGACTTACCTAGGAAAAAAAGAACAATTGTGTCATTTTGGTTTAACGACCTACTCGGACATCGGCTTTAGCATCCTCTGGTTGAAATGTTTCGCATCGAGTAACTCCAATCATCCGGTCATCTGAGAGTAAAAATGAAGACCGATATTGACGCCTAATACAGCTGCCAAGGAAGGACACAGAAATATTGGAGTAACGCCGACAGGTACGACTATCAGCAAGGCAATCAGTGGAATTCTGATCCCAGAGCTCAAAGTTGCCGGGTGACATGAAAGGTGCTCTGGGGCCACTGCATGAGCGGCTTCCGATTTCGAGGTTATCAGAGAGATCGGGAAGCGAGTTAAGAGAAGCCGGCCGACGAACTGTCACGAGGTTTCGCCTAGCCCGAATGGTCCATGCAGTAGTCATTAGGCCTAAAGTACGGCAACAGTAGCGATTATGACAAAAAGCAGCAAATAATGGAGAGATTCGAATTCAGTAAAACAGAGTAATTTATATTCTGACAGACTCAGACAGATCTACTTCTGCCTAACATGAAAAAAATGAACACATGGCGCGGAAAAACTGCACCCATTAAAGTTGTAGGTTATTATGCCTAAAATCTAACACCCTGCCTGTCACAAGGTAAAAGTTCAATTCCTTCAAAATAACAGTCGAATAAGATTCAAAACAGGTAATATGATAGCAAGATAAGGACATGACAAATAGTGCACGAAACAAAGTACATAAGTGGGATCAGATCAAATTAACGGTATGAAACAAAGTTAGAATAAAATTAAGCCGCATGACAAGCCATCCATGTACAAAGCTAGACCTGCAAGACAAGTCCCAGAACAGGAAAAATGACATAGTCGTATGTGATATTCGTCAAAGGCTCAGAGCAAAATTCAATGCATACTGTACGGCTAGCTTAAATACATGCAACTTTGCCAATTATCTAAGGACTGAGAGCCACTTTTCCTCACTATAAATATACTAGTGATAAGTAGGTGATAGATTTCAGGACCAAAAGATTGTAGGTGTAACAATATTGAAAACATTACTAATTGCTCAATCAGCGTTATCTATCTGATCCAAAGGAGCTGGGGGGACTTGCCCTATTTTGACTCGGTACAAATGGATTTCACTACAAGAACACGATTGCAGTGGTTAGGTTGATGGAAAATACGGCAGCTGCTAGTAAAAACTTTTAAAACACCGAGGCACATCCGCAGTGTGTTCAGAGAACCGGTATAACATAAGTGCCAATGTTTGTTAGCATTTGACTCATTCAAAAAAGTGTAGGGCATGCATTAGGTCCACGCTTCTGCAACTCAACTAAAAACTCAACCTAATATTCAAGACCTAAAGAAATTTCAAAATTGCTTTTAAATGCTTAAGACTTGGCTAATGAAAAAAGGAGGTGCCATAGGGGTGCAATTTAAATGCGTGAAAACCCAATTTCAAATCGAATGGAAGTAATAACAACAACTGAGATCTAGTTTAAAAGGCACAACGTAAATGCTAAACTATTTTCACAAAAGGCTTGCTTTTTACACTTCTTAAGTTCTGCTAACTTGCCTGAACACTATAGGTTTTGTAAAATAATAATGAAACCATTTACTAAAAATAAAGTTGATTTTACATTATAAATAAGAATAATTGCTGTTTGACCTTAAGGAAGGAACAAAGGAATTCTAAGAAGTCCTTTTGGGTCTTCTACATTGACTCTTAATTTCACCTCTCAAAGTGTTTTAGACAAGTAATTTTCGTATTGTAAAAATTAAGAATACGTTTTGTCAGTGTTTGCTCCGAAATTCTATATATTGTAGCACCTTAAGACTCCTTTGAGGACCAAGTAAGGCACAATTATTGGGCAGAATTTGAGTATTCAACATACAGTAGTGTAGCGGCACAAGACTTCCCTAAAGACGAAAAACGACACAATACTCGGGCAAAATAAATATATTTAGCACAGAAAAGGTGTCTGGGCTACTGGCATGGCCCCAAGGTCAGCCCACTTAGCGTGGTACAAGAAGGCTGATTTAAAGGTACAAAAGGGGAGCCCCACCAACACCGAGGGATAAACCACCATTGCATTACAGTATAAA